GTAGAAAATTCAAGGTCAATATTATAAAGTCAAATATTTAGAGAGAGAGAGAGAGAGAGAGAGAGAGAGAGAGAGGGGGCATTTTGGGACTAACATATGGTTCAATTTTATTTCAATAATTGGCTTACGCGTAGGGGTATGTATCTGTAGGAGGAAACCGGAGGACTCGGAGAAAACTCACCAGGTTGGACAGGCGAGTCAAATATTACAGAGGCATTATATAAGATTTAAAGAAATGAAATGAAATGGGGTTTAACGTCCTACTTTTCTGTGCCTACCGAAGTAATGACGTCCCATCTGTTTAAAACACAGATCCTATTTCGTTTCGTTTTTATAGTTCAAAATTTCGTTTTATTTGTCTTTGCTAAAGGTAGGGGCCTGTTTCACCAAATTTTAACTAAGATAAAATCCAAATTTTAGTAATTTGATTGGATAATACTAGACTGATTTTAGTGCTAAGCCAATCAAAATTGAAGTATCTACTAAAATTTGGATTTTATCTTAAGTTAAAATTTCGTGAAACAGGCCCCAGGAGGAGTTGTTATCATTGACGTGTTCTGAATAGTGTGAGGTATTAGCCACTGAAACGGTCTGTTATGGCGAGCTTTAGGCGTGTTTTGCGCGGAACTGTGGGTAATCCTCTAGTAACACCAATGCTGATCGGTTAATCAAATATCTGACGTCATAGGGTCAAAACCCGCTCGTATGACCTCTGATGCGACCTATCGCTACAACCGGTCAGATCTTCATGTAGTGTAGACCATCGAAAGTATAAAAAATAACGAAACGAAATATAGATCTATATTTTAATTAGATTGAATGACGACGGAAGATTTAGTTAAAGCGAGAATTTCAAATTTTCTAAGAAAGTCAAAACATAATTATTTCTATGTCTTTTGCTCAATAGGTTATCAAATCACTATTATACGATCATGGGCATTATTTCCCACCCTTAAAAATCTATGACACGGGAAATAACAACACAATTACCTCCCCTGTTTTGCTATTGACAACATGGGGCAGCCATTTTCCAACGTTGGAATTTGAAGTAAAAAATGATATTTTTGCCAATTTCTTAGCCGGCAATAGCGAATTATAGGATTAATAGGATTATTCTTTAACAAGGTAGGACTGTTTATGGATACCATCTATTTTAAGGCTTTATTTTAATACATTTTAAAAATATAACTTGAAAATTTGCAATTGCAACTTTAAAGAGCTAGTCGTTTTGTTCTATATAATAGTTCTAAAAAAGATAATGAAAAGTAACCAAATTATGATTCATTTAAAGGGGACATAACTTGTCGAAAACCTTGTGACTGGTTGTATTGTGAAATCTCAAGTTTTATGTCATTACAAAGTTTTTGTACGTGCTTCATATAGAATTAAATGAGCTAAATCGCTAATATTTGGGACCTAGAAATGGACACAAATGGGTCGCAACACATATAATAATGTAATATAAATGTATATAAACTGATTTGCATTCAATCGTTTCCATTTTACTCTAATTTCAAATCAGTCATGTTCGACGAAATACGCCAGAAGTTTCAATCGAATGGCAATCTCTAGCATCTGGTTATTCATAAATACATCGATAGTATTTATTGCGCTTGCTCTCCAGATAAGAATATGGCGTCGCCGATTGACATGACTTGTGGAATATGTGTAGCCTGGTTCTTCGAGTCCCTTGTTACAAATGGCGCTGAAACGCATTATGGTACACGATTCGTGTACCAATGGCAAAATGTTTATTTTGTCTTAAACATTGGATATCAGAAGCCCATCTTTTACCGGTAAGATCACAACATCAGTGTTGATTTCAATTGACAAATAATTAGTGTTTTTAATGTGGAAGACTTTGGATGATAATGAGTTAGAGACTTAGCTGCTTTAAATTTGTTGTTATATAACATTTATTTGGGTTAATTCTCAGACTTTGTGAACTCGGGGCCAGAATTAAATCCGGAAATCGTTAAAGGGGCATTATGGGAGATTAGATAAAGAGTTGACAGTCCTCGCTATAATAGTTAAAAAATAGATCACATAAATAGAATATGCTGAAAATATCTGCCAATTTGCTCCACTCTGAACCGAGATATTAGCTTTGGAATTTTAGACTAGCATCGATCATCATTACTAAAGTCGGTACGATAAAAACAAAGTCGCGATTATCCAATTTTACGTTTAATCATCCTTCATAAAGTGTATTCCAATCCGTTAAATATCGCAGACTAGCGAAATGGGGTTTAATGTTTAACAACCTTCGAATTTCCACTGCTTATGGTACTTTTACGCGAATGCCAACGTGTATACGGGACCTCGGGTTTTTCGCCCCGATCTACGCGTTGATCAATGTCACCCCAGCCCCCCCCCCCCCCGTTCTGCAAACAAAAGTAAACTACGCCTGACAATCCCGGGAATTTTCTCGACCGATGGAGCCGCGGTGACTCAGTGAGTAAGATGTTCGATCCCGGTGTTGGCCGAGAAAGTTCATCGGCATTTTAATTTTCCAGCGTGGTTCCCCCGTGTCAGTGGTGCAAGGGACAACGCATAGACGTTTGGATGGCACGAAAATCCGAGGTCCCGTGCACACATTCGCGTGCATGTAATAGATCCCTCGGCATTTGGAATTCGATATAATCGTGGGCCGTAGCGCCATTGTTAGAGCAAAATTCCCCCCGTAGCACACTGTATTAAACCCCATTTGATTTCATTTCTCGACCAACACCGGGAGCGATCTCGAGGTCAGTTTTTAATGCTGTTGAATCCAAGCCGAGGAATTACCTGTCAATGATATATAATTTTATTTTCTCAATTAAATAAATAACACACGGAATATTATTATTTAATCTGGGTCTATTCTGGAGGTCCATAGGGGCAAAAACAATTGATTTGTCTCCCTTTGATCTTCAAAAGTCGACTGTGTTCAAAGTTACCATACGTCCCGGTTTTACCGGGACAGTCCCAGTTCTTACATCAGGTGTTTTTCAGTTGAAAATAATAACACAAAACACATAAACTAGTGATTAATGTATACTGCGTTTGCTACAAACAATCGTGTTTCATCATCTAAATATATAGTTCAGAGCATAAAAATTACAGGCCTTGACATATGATCTTGGGTATAATTTTATTGTTTAACGACGTAGAGTTTTATAACAAAATACAATACATTTTAATTAAGACTTGTTAAACAATCTACATATTGACAACTCGATATAAAGTCTGTCAATGGTCCATTCAACAACATAATATGTTTAGTGTAACTACCGTCACAAAATGACGGAAAACGCATCTACAGGCTTCACAATCCCCCTAGCAAATTTGCGCATTCAGTCCTCAATATATCGCTCTCTATGGGCGCTCATTAACGTCACGCCCTTCGGGTGCTCCTTGCTCATTTTTGCCTTTGTCTGATCAGAATAACAAATGTCCCGGTTTCTTCAATGAATAATCTGGTAACCCTACCCGCGGGGGGGGGGGGGGGCAACATTTGAAAAAAGACAATTTATTCAACTTTGACATTGCGTATAGCAGCGTTGTTCTTAGTTTTGAAATTAGAATATGATTTTTCATTCCGTTGGTCGTGTGTATATAGGACTTAGACAAGTAATTATTTCCCCTTATTTCATGTAGTGCGAGTTATAAATAGACATTTTTTTCCTTAATTGTCTTTCTGCAGATCAATCATTGTGTCGGAAGTGAGATTTTCACCCCAGTCAACATCAAATCCCCGTAGCAAAAAATCTAAACGGTCATCCCCCTACAAAATTATGATGAGGATATTGCAAATATGGTCCCCATTGTGCCTATAAAGATTGGAACCAACGGAATGTTGGGCAAAAAGCTATAGCCTGTGGTGTTACAGCCATTTAACATTTCCATTAAAATTTCTCAAAGAATTGCGGTGATGTTTGAGTTGTCTCCCTTTAGTCTTCAGAAATTCAATAAGGTATACTGTGCACCCCCTGCTCAATTAACAACTGTGGTAAGCAATTATTATAATCATAGTCGATATAAACTATGCTGTCCTTGGGGAATTTATGTTTTATTCAGGGAAACAAGTGTGGTCTGTAACCAGCTACTTATTGGTGTACTCGTTTCTACAAATAGTAATTATTTGGGCACGTGTACTTTACTCGTTTGGCGAACAATCCTCTGGACTGCCGAGCGATTAATCTATTTCGGTGACCATGGTCATGGACCTTGATATATGGTTTACGGGGTCGAGGGGGTATTTATTGTTAGGGAACTTTCCAGAAATTCACCCAGATTTCTTAGCAAATGGCATATGGTTAACATGAATTTGAATCTAGCTCTTTGTATCGCGCTACAAAACAACATAAGAAAACCCACAGCACAATCAAATTGATGGTCATAATTATTGAATGTTGATGTACAAAATAAGAAATCCATCTTTAGATAGTAAGGGGGGGGGGGCTGATGGTTAGCACGTGCGCGTAGTATCATAAGGTTTGTTATTCAGTCAATTCCCCGGTTGTATGTGACAAGGAGTAGGGTCGCCTGTCTAACCTCGACATGGGTTTTCTCCGGGTTTTCCGGTTTCCTCCCACTGCTAAAGACCCTTACGCGCAAGCGAATTATTGAAATAAAATTAAACCATATGTTAGTCCCAAAATGACCTAGATTTTATCGAATGGATGTTAAATCCTCCCTCTCTCTCTCTCTCTCTCTCTCTCTCTCTCTCTCTCTCTCGATCGATCGATCGATTTACTTAAAGGAATGTGATCCTCACAATGTTTTGTTGAACTAGACAAGAATTACGGTGTATTTTCTACGGAAACATCGACGAGTTTGTAATGGATATTTGACGATATATCCCCCCCCCCCCCCATGTAGGTTTATGTAGTTTTAACAATAGATTGAATATAATCCAAGAGATATAATCAGTAAATCGAGGATATAAAATATCAAATAACAACTCATAAACTCTCTCTCGATAAATATGATTTCCATTCAGAGTAACTTGACCATGCCAATGAAGTACAACGCACAAGATGGCGGATGATGAATGGGAAGAAGAGGTTTGTTGGTCTATTTCGTAATGTTGTAGTTTATAGTTCAACTCAAATGAAAAGTTCAATGTCTTGAAGCATAAAGTAACAATATTTTTATTTGATGATATCTGCTCTGACTGAGTTTGTGAAAAGGAGACATGTTTGCAAAGATTTGAACGGTCGATTTCTTCTAAAATTTTGAGTTCTCACAAGGGAAATAACTCGTGATAGAAAAAGATGTATCGTTTCAGACTAGTCATCTAGAAATTGTTCCACTACTGATTTCTTCCGTCTTGCTCCAGCCACAATAGTGGACAGTCTTAAGGCCTTCCTTTGAGCAAGTTTTGTAGTCATTTAACTACAAAAATGTTACTGGCCTATAACTCACTTAATTTCCAATTACACTGAGTGACTGACCCCAAACTGTACTGGACATAGCTTAACATATAATAAACAAATTCCCATTGAAATAAAGGTGAAACTTTACCACATAATTATTTGACTTGATAAAACCCAACTGCTATGCGAAATTTCTGTTCATTTTAAAATGGTCGCCGAACCAGAATCATGTGGTTCATGGCACTCGAAAATACAGATTTCAGTGTTCCACTCTTCACTATTTGTAACATAATTACTTATTTCCATGCAAACTGTGATGATATGTGTTGAAAATTTGCAACTGAACCTAATTTTACTTGTGCAAAGCCTTGAATAGTGTATCAATTGTAGCCGCGGACAATACAGGATGTGGGTACAATATTGTAGCTAACGCCAGTCAACCTGTCCACATTGACTTCAATTTTAAATCCAGTCATTTCTTGGCCTATAACATAACATTTGTTTTTAATATTTCGATGATCTCAATGTTTTAACCATATAGAGGCCAACATGTTACAATCAGTCTTTAGCAGTGGGAAGAAACTGGAGGACCCGGAGAAAACCCACGAGGTTGGACAGACGACCCTACTCCTTGTCACGTACAACCAGGGAATCGAAACCACGCCAGTTGACTCAATGACAGACTTTATAATACAGCACGCATGTGCTAACCATTCAGCCATCCAACCCCACCCCGACCCCACCCCCAGGTGTTTTGAACTACCAGTATTTTTTTTTATTTCCAGGAAACAACAATATTGGTAGAATTAAATGGATTAACAGATTCTGAATTCTTTAAGAAAGAAAATGTAGCCTGTAAGATACTTGTAAGTTTCTGAACAGTAGGACGTTAAACTCCATTTCATTCTGTATTAAAATTTATTGCAAATCTTACTGTACTTGAATAATGCTGCCCCATATTACCTGACTGATCTCATAAAACTGCAAGATTCTGAATGTTTAGAATTGTTGCTCTAACTCTGTAGAATGACAAAGACTTGAACAATTCCATCAAAACTGCCAAAACATTACTTGACTTTAGGAAAAGGTTAAAAACACACCTGTTTCAACAAGCTTATCCAGATTGACATTAGAAGCGCATAGTGCATGCCTCAGCATGGAATAGATTCTTATATAAATAACTTTATTCTTATTACTTCAAGTTGGACTGTTATATATGCAAACCAAGTAGTCTTCATATCTCCTACATCCATATACACACGCTCAAAGTGCAACATTTAAAGAGTTTCTGGTTAATAAAAACACACACATAAACAATCTGTTTCTAATCTGGATAATAGAGTTTAAACAAATAAGTTTTAGATCTGTAACTTAAAGATTGTGACAGTTTGATACATTATGTAAGATTTAGATAAAGAACTGGTTGTTCTTGCTATAATAGGTCAAAAATAGATAATGATTTGATTAATTTATTACAAGACTTACCAGAACCTTAATTCACCATTTTTAAATAAAATCATTAAATGGAGCCCATATTTCATTCCATTTAAATCTCCACCGTCTGATGATCAAGAAGGTTGATGTTGATTAAACATCAAAATATAATTTATATAATATTTGAAGCCAAAATAAAGACCTTTAATAAGTAGATTTAAGTGTTTAAGTATATCTATGAGAATGAACTGGATAGTTGTAATGCACAAGTTAGAATCATCAAGACAAGTTTATATAATATAACTTGTTCTTTACTAACAGGTGCTATAGAAAACATGTCGTTAATGGGAATATCATTTCTTAGAGATGAACTGATATTTAGTTTAATGACAAACAGGTCATAGATTAATGAATGGTCTAATGCATGTGCTTTAGATCATAAGATCTGTCATTGAGTCAAGTGTTTGGATCGAGTGGATGTTAAACCCTGTTTCTCCATCTCTCAAATTGAGAATTATCTTTTTTTTTTGTATTTTAGGAAGTGGACAGCGATCTCTCTCTCTCTCTCTCCATCAATGGGGGCGGTTGGATGTCTAAATGGTTAGCGTGCGCGCGCTGTATCATAAAGTCTGTCATTGAGTCAACTGGCATGGTTTCGAATCGCTGGTTGTACGTGACAAGGAGTAGGGTCGTCTGTCCAACCTCATGGGTTTTCTCCGGGTCCTCCGTTTTCCTCCCACTGCTAAGGACCCCTACGCGCAAGCGAATTATGTAAATAAAATAAATTAAACCATATGTTAGTCCTGAAATGACCTAGTTTGTGTCGAGTGGATGTTAAACCCCATTTCTCTCTCTCTCTCTCTCTCTCTCCATCAATGGGGGATCACCTGGCTAAGAGTGGGTAAGACGCTGGCTCGATAGCCTGGAGGTCGGGTGTTCAATCCCTGCATTGGCCGAGAAAGATCATCCAGATTTTCCGGCGTGGTTCCCCCTTGTCAAGGACAGCTGTCTAGTCCTTTGGATGAGACAAAAAACCGAGGTCCCGTGTATATATTGGAATGCACGTAAAATATCCCCTATAAGAGTAGGCGATAGTGCCGCTGCCTGGGCAAAATTTCCCTCATAGCACACTTTATGGCGTATGCCCGTCTTCATTAGCCCAGCATAGGAGCAGAACAATAGGACGTTAAACCCCATTTCATTTCATTTCATTCAAGAATTACAATTTGGTTATTTTAGGGAGTGGACAGCGATAAACCATTATTACAACTTGGTACTAATTTATTTAGTGGTGAATACAAGGATGTTCTTGGTACCTGTCTCATCTTCGACAAAAATACAGGTAAATATCACACCACCTTCTACACCTTAACATATCCACACCTGTGAATAACCTGTAAACATTTAGAAAAAAAGATTTCATATTTTTTTAGATTTCTATAAGAAGCTAGTCATCCTTGTCATTGGTGCATGACAGAGAGCCCGGCAACGGACAACGTACATGTATAGTCGTTCGGATGGGACGGAAAACAAGGGTCCCGTGTACACATTGATGTTCATTAAAAGATCCCTTGACATTTGGAATGCAATATTAGAGTAGCGCTGCTGCCCAGGCTAAATTTCTCTCATAGCACACTGTATGGCATATGTCTGTCCTCATTAGGGGGGGTTGGATGGCTGAATGGTTAGCACGTGCGTGCTGTATCATAAAGTCTGTCATTGAGTCAACTGGCGTGGTTTCGAATCCCCAGTTGTACGTGACAAGGAGTAGGGTTGCCTGTCCAACTTCGTGGGTTTTCTCCGAGTCCTCTGGTTTCCTCCCACTGCTAAAGACCCCTACGCGCAAGCAATATATGGAAATAAAATTGAACCATATGTTAGTCCCGAAATGACCTGGTTTGTGTCGAGTGGACGTTAAACCCCCATCTCTCTCCCTCTCTCTCTGTCCTCATTAGCCCAGTGTTAGTAGAATACTGGGACGTTAAACATCATTTCACTTTCATTTGTCAAGCTAGTCAATATATCATGTAATGATGGTCAGTATTTGCAATAAGTATTTTGATGTTTGTAAAAAAAAAGAAGGGCCACAGTGGTTTATACAAATGGTCGATAGGGGTCAAGGGGTCTATCGCCATGTCGGATGAGAAAGTTCCTTGCCATTTTCCAGCATGTTTATCGGAGGACGCGTAGAAAACCAATAAGGTTGTAATCAAAACCACACCACTTAACTCAATGACAAACCTAATGATTTCACACGCACACATTAAACCACTAGACCCCCAATAATTTTTTATTTTGCGTGTGTTACAAGTGGGGTGGGTCGTTTCGAAATGTATAAATTGTCTCAATGGCATTTAGTAATTGAACTGTACACAGGTCACAGTTCTATGGACTACAATTACTACTTATCACTGAGTGACGATCTTGCTTGATAATGACTAGAGAAGCCTAGTCGAAACGGCGCTTAGTAATAAGCAGTAATTGTATTCCATAGAATTGTGACCTGTATGTTCTAAATGTATATTTAAAATTTATGGAAACCTTGTTTATTATCGTTGGTCTTCCCCTTTAATTTGTTGTACACATTAGCCTGCAGTCGTGCATCTAAAAGATCTCTTGGCACAGTTGGAATTTGATATAAGAGAATGCTGTGGTTGCCTGCATAGTACACGGTTTATATTGGTCTTCTTAGCTCTTCCCTTTAACCTGTTACTGGTAGTGTACTACTGCCTCATCTAATAACCCAACCTCGTAGATTTTCTCTGGTTCTCTTAGTTTCCCCCCACTGTTAAAGATCCCTATGCGCAAGTGAATTATTGAAATAAAATTTAACCATATGTTAGTCCCGAAATGACCTAGTTTGTGTCAAGTGGACGTTAGACCACATTTCTCTCTCTCAAATCTAATAATATTCTATCACCAGGAATTGAAATCTACGAGCGTTAATTTTGACATGAATCTTTGATTTCCAGATGCCGATGAAACCAATATAAAGAGTGTTAAATTTCACAGCAAAACTCAGAAAACTTTAGTCATGCATCGAACTTTCCTGAATGAGAAATCAGAAGGTATTATTACAGGCCTATTATATTTCACTGTATATTATTATATTATATTATATTATATTATATTATTATTATATATACTATTCAAAAAAAGTAGGGGATATTTGATTTTGGGGGCATAATACTAAAATATGCAAATGACTACGAAAAAAGTCACTATAGAACCTAACAGAAGAAACATTTCCAGTTACATGTGACGCCCAAACGCACCAATAGCTACCGCATGGAATGCAGGTGATGCTTGGGATCATCATGGGGGTCCAACCCAAGATTTGCACGACTCTGAATTTGAATTCCAGGGTGGAAACATCAGTTTAATTGTTTTAGTGACCAGAAAACAAATTTTGATATGCGTCGGCTTACCCAAAATGAAAGGTTACGTGCCCTTGGCATGCTACAGATCGGCACAACACAGGCGGTTGTGGCGCGGACGATGAATGTTTCTCAGTCTGTCATAAGCAGGCTATGGTCCAGATACCGTGATACACAATCTGTACAGGACAGACCACGCTCAGGTCGACCAAGGGCGACAACTCAAGCCCAGGATCGATTTATCCGTACCTTGGCCTTGAGAAATCGTGTCATCACAGCAAATCAGATCAGCAAATCGGAATCGACTGCATAGGGGTCACCTTCGCGCCCGACGTCCTCGCGTGATCCCTTGTTTGAGAGATCATCACATTCAGGCAAGACGTCGTTGGTGTAGGGATCGTCAACACTGGGATAATCGACGCTGGAGCAATGTGATGTTTTCAGATGAGTCAAGGTTCACTGTTGATTTTTTGGACAGACGTAGGAGGGTGTGGCGTCGTCGGAACGAGCGCTTCCAAGACGTTAACGTCATCAGACATGATCGATTTGGGGGTGGTTCTGTTATGGTGTGGGGAGGCATCACTGTTGCTGGAAGAACGGCTTTACATGTTGTTGCAGGGCGTGTTACAGGCCAGTACTACCGGGACAACATCTTGGCAGTCCATGTTGTGCCGTTCGCACGACGTCATGGCCGCCGTTTCATCTTCCAGGATGACAACGCAAGATTTCACAGGGCCAGGATCGTTACAGGTTACCTCCAACAACAGAACATCACCACATTACCTTGGCCAGCACTGAGTCCCGACCTCTCCCCCATCGAGCATGTCTGGGACATGCTTGGACAGAGGTTACGTCAACGTCAACAACGTCCTGCCAATGTCCAAGAACTTGCTGCTGCGTTGCAACAGGAATGGGACAATCTGGACCAAAATGACCTTAGACGTCTCATTAGGAGTATGCCATGTCGGATCAATGCTTGTTTGGCAAACAGAGGAGGATTTACCCGTTACTGACTTGGTTGTGATGCTGTGGTAACTTTGCTGTTTGACCCCGGGTATCATTTTACCCTTATAATGGTCAGTCTGTGCCTTACTTAGTCTAACGATCATTTGGAATAAATCGATGAATGTGAACTTCATTTCATTTTGTCATTTGTTTCTTCGTCAGTTTCATTAGGTGACTTTAATAACACTTAAAAATCAAATATCCCCTACTTTTTTTGTATATTATATTATATTATATTATATTGTATTATAATATAATTATATTATATTATATTATATTATATTATATTATATTATATTATATTATATTATATTATATTATATTATTTATATTTTATTATTTTTATTTTTTTAAAATTTATATTATATTTATATTTTATTTATATTATTTATTATATTATTTATATTATATTTATATTATATTTATATTTTATTTATATTTTATTTATATTATATTTATATTATATTTATATTATATTTATATTATATTTATATTTTATATTATATTTATATTATATTATATTTATATTATAGGTGTGATAGAGTTGTGTAAAGATACAGCAACTACAGAACAAACGGATCCTACAACTTATGACAAACCACCAATTACACAAGAAAATACTTGATCGGATATTTTATTCTACAGTTCAAACACATCAATGAGCAAGATGACTCGCTGGCAATATATTTGAGATGGATACGATTTCGTCTGATACTCGTGAACTTTTGACCAAGCATTTGATAAAGATGAGATGGCCCTGTTTCTGTAACCTTGTGCTGTAGAACTGGTGGCTAGAGGTTTGGTATTTTTGAGATGGATACAATCTGGTGCTGTTGTACTATTGGCCAAGTCTTTGGTATCAAGCTGGTTTAATCTAAGGAAATGTTACAAATCAGTATAAAATTAATTTAAAAAACAAACGTGTTGAATCATTTAGGAGAAAGGTGACAGAATAAAGAGACTTGGATAAAACGATCATAAAAAAAACCTAAATTTATCTGAGAAACACAAGTTTTATTTTGATTGGTGGATTGATGGATCGATTGATTTATCAGTTGGTTTGTTGATTGAATGATTGATTGATTGATTAATTGGTAGGACAACATTTTAAGGTACTTCGATCCAGACAATGCTAGGCAAGAGACCACATTTTTAACTTTCCCTGGCTTAATAATGTCTACTCATTGCCTATTTATTTGGACCAGATTTTCTATTTATTTGGACCAGAAATGGATTTTGAAATTAAAATGTCTTTTTAAAAGAGAAATAAAACAGTTACTGGATAAAAAAGACGTACAGATATTGCTGTTAACTTTTGTTGAAATCATCTTTCTGGTACAATTATAATATAACAGTTCATTTAGTAATCTGCATAAAAGACCTGGAAAGAAAAACACAAGGGGTGACAGACGACCCTACTCCTTGTCACTACATAAAGCGCACACGTTAGGCCATCCACCACGCAACCGCCATGAACAAAAATTTGGCCAACAGTGGGACCTTAAATCCCATTTCATTTCCAGTTGTTTTCCACAAATTTTAACCAATCATATTTGCCCATTTTCATTAGTTGCTGCATAAATGTCTGACCTTAAAACCTTCCATTCTTATACGTTCACATTATGAATGTGGACGTATGTTGTCGTTGCCCCTGTGTGTCGCATACTTATTTCTTATGCCCTTAGGATGACCTCTATTATTTTTTTCGGTGCATGCCCGACCCTCTGAGACAGAGCGATGCCCATTTTTTGTGTGTGTCGCCTACAGGCCGCAATTCTAAACTGATCGTCTTAAAACTTTGCATACTTATTCCTTATACCCTCAGGATGACCTCTTATTATTTGTGGCGCATGTCCGACCCTCTAGACAGAGTCAATCACAGTATTTGTATTTGTGCCTACAGACCACAATTATTAAAGCGATAATTTCATATTTTTAAAATCTATTAAAATAAAGCCTTAAAATATATGGTATCCTTAAACAGTCCTACCTTGTTAAAGAATAATCCTATTAATTCTATAATTCAATATTGCCAGTTGAGAAATTGACAAAAATATCATTTTCAACTTCAAATTCAAACGTTTGAAGATAGCTATTCCATGGGGGGGGGAATAGAAAACAAGGGAGGTAATTGTGTTATTTTTCCGGGGTGAATGGTTTTTAAGTGTGAGAATGATACCTATGATCGTATAATAGTGAGTTGACGACCTATTGAGCAAAAGACATAGAAATAATTATGTTTTGACTTTCTTAGAAAATATGAAATTCTCACTTTAACAGATCGTTTTGAAAAACTTTGTTCGTTCGTTCCTCGTTTTTAACGTCCATTTCCCTATGCTAGTTACGAGGACACGCATGGTGTAAGTTGGGAATGCAGCGAAACGAGGTCATTGGCTCTATACTATCATACTGTGGACTTGACACTTGATTGTGGTCTTTAACCAGTAAATTACTACGTGGGGATCACGTGGCTAAGTGGGTAAGACTCTGGCTAAGTGGGTAAGACGCTGGCTCGCTAGCCTGGAGGTCGCATGTTCAATCCCTGACAGCTGTCTAGTCATTTGGATGGGACAAAAAAAAGAGGTCCCATGTATATATTGGCGTGCACATAAAAGATCCCTTGGCAGTTGGAATTCGATATAAGAGTAGGCCGTAGCGCCGCTGCCCGGGCAAAATTTCCCTCCTAGCACACTGTATGGCGTATGCCCGTCTTCATTAGCCCAGTTTAGGAGCAGAACAGTAGGACGTTAAACCCCATTTCATTTCATTCCCCCCCCCCCCATCTCCTTCCTTTGACCACGCATGGAAAAAATACAATATAACTGTTTGAAATTGATGTATGGCACAATGTCGCGATAGAACCGTTATTCATTAATGTGATCAACCGAGGACGCATATTACGTTTTAATATCGACAAATGGGGACTTTATGTATGGTGAACACCAACAACCGAGTACACACACACACACACTCACATCCCAGGGGACGTTACAAATCTATATCAATAATATACTAAACAGCAAAAAAAAAAACGTCAGTACGATTTCAAAATCAGTCACCCATCATTTAATAGATTTTTGTACCATTCGTCTTTGATCACCTCTCAAGGCAAGTAAATATAAATGTTCCAGAAAATTATTTAAATATTTGAAAAGAGCAGTGAACGTGCTTTTCAGTGATATGTAACTACGATATCGGGAATTTCGTATTAAGACCCGTAATTTGGTAGTGAGGGCAAGCTTGATTCACAGTTAGTGAAGTGTAAGTATTCTTAGTGAAAGATGAGTTAGTGAGGGCGGACTTGATCTCGTGGCCGCTTCAACATTGATAAATAAAGTCGACAACCCGACATCACGACATTTTTACGCGACATTCTTCATGTCGTGGTGTCGGGTGAAAATGTCGTAGTGTCGGGTTAAAAATGTCGTGATGTCGTGGTGTCGGGTTATGATGTCGGGTTGTCGCCTTATGAAGGGCAACACCACGACATCACGACATGATACCAATCAGCCACCATATCTCCGCTATTCATTTTTTTAGATATAGTTCCCGTTTCCACCGACAAAGATAACGCAAAAAAGTGTTCAGTCTCTAATAAAAGCATTCATTCCTACAAAATGTTTCTTTAGTCAAGTGAAGCAAGAAAATTCATAACATGGGCTGAGTAAATTCACCTGAACAAATCTGAATGGGCTAAATAGAGCAACAGAACAAGTTCACCTTGATGTTATGAAAGATGTAAGTGCATGTGAACATCAACTAATAAGATATATAATGTGATTCATCTATATGCAACATATATGATTAATTTATCAAAATATCTTCATTCAAGTTAAACCAACTAAATCTATTTATTTTTTAATTTCACGTTTAGCTGAATAAAACATTACAGCATGGATGACAGGGTGTAACCAAAATTTATAATTGGGTCTTTATTATTGCCAACATTTTAATGTACCTTGGCTTTTCTACACCAAGTCTATCGCATCCAGATATTTAAAGCGCGTTAACAATATATTCATTTAAGAGAAACTATGTCATTTTGGGATTAACATATCGTACAATTCATATTCATTTGCCGAGGGTCCCTGAATTAGGCCTTGCAAGGGGTTCCTACTCTATTGGGTGTCCGGCTAGGTTATCTCCTTGCTTTTATAAAATTGACCTACAAATTTTTTTTCTGTAATTTCTCCAGATGTTTCTAGCTTCCGCATAAATTTGACGTGTGACTATTCTATCTGAAATTAAGTTTTGAAACCAATATTGAATTCAGTAACTTTAAAACCCTTATTTTACAAGCAATATCCACAAGGTAAGACATTTTGGTTTCTATTTTGGTCGTCGTTTTAAATTGACATCGTCTGGACCATTCATAATAATTTATTTTTAGAAAGAAATTGAACCTAGCAACCATCTAACCCATATATAAGACATATTACAAGCCATATCCAACGGCACAAATCACGATTAATTAAACTTCCACCAATTTGGATTTCATTTTGCCGGCCATTTTGAATTTCTACGATCAAGAATTCTTAAAATTTATTTTTGAGATCAGGTTGAACCCAACACATATATAAGACATATTAAAACATTTCACAATTTTGGATTGAATTTTGCCGGTCATTTTGAATTTCTGCCACCATGGATTAATTTTTGAGATCAGTATTGGACCCGGTAACATCGAAAACCGTGAAAATATCCAACAAGTAATAAATTAATATCCGTCGATTTGTGTTGCTGCCATTTTGAATTTTCGAAATTGAACTTTAAATTCAGAGACATCGAAAATCATATAAAAGGCATAGCAAAAGTCATATCTTACGTAACAGTAGGACGTTCAACCCCGTTCCATTCCATTTCGTACGAGTTCATCGCTGCCCTTTTATTACCAAATGTATGGGTTATTTTTAAATGACATTATATTACCAAATTTTGCAGTCATTTTGAAAGAAATACATTTTTTAAATTGATGTTTGTCAAATTCGATTTTTCGGCACATTTCGCTTGCTTAACCACTATATATGACATTATATAATATTACCGCATTTGGAAACCATTTTAAGAGAAATGCCCGGCACCATATGAAAAGTACATTTTTTGAATTGTTTGTCAAATTCGACACATTTAGCTTGCTTAACCACTTTGAGGAATTTAAAAAGACATTTTTTTTAAAGGTGAACATTCTCTTAACAACAATTCATCAATCTAAATGTTAAAAAGATTTTCATAACAAGACGAGTTTAACTATATATTATGTGTAGGATAAAGCACGAGACCGAGGTTAACTATTATGCATGGAACCATCGGGATACCTCGGGATAATTGCTAGAGTTGAGTTATTAATATTTCAATTGTATATTATTATTTTATCCTTATTATTTCGGCAATAATTTTATATGTTACGCCAGGTAAAATATTTCGAAAGGTTTGGGAAATTCTTTATGAGCAATTAAAATTTTACACTGAGAAATAAATGAGTTATTTATTCCCACACATATTCGCACATTTTATGTGGACGTATATTGTCGTCGCCCCTGTCCGTCCGGACGTCCGTCTACAATTCGTTTGTGGACACTCTACTGGTCATAATTTTTATCCGATTTTGACGAAACTTGAAATATAGGTTTATCTCCCAAAGACCCCGGTTCCTGTGGATATTGGCATGTATCGGATAGTAATTTCATGGATTATGGCCCCTGATTATACGACAAATCACGTTTTTAGCTTCTAGAACGCAAATAGTGTAAAAAAATATGTAATACCAAGGTCTTGGACACGCTATCGGTCAAATTTTTGTCTGATTTTGATGAAACTTAAAATATATCTTTAAATCCCAAAGATTTCAGCCCGTTTCGATTTTCGCGCATTGCAGACCATCACGTCTTGGATTATGGCCCCTGATTGAACGAAAAATCGCGGGTTTTTTGTTTTTAGCTTGTTCTCTATCCATCTGTTGCAAAATGTGGGCGTATAATGAAATGCCTGGCAACGACTGGTTGTTTGTATAGACGATAGATTATAGGATTAATTCGGTAGGAGACGCATCTTCATCCAAGCTCTCTGCAAACCGTCATTAGAAGATCCACATATTTGACAGATATTTGACATTTGATATTTCGGGACTAACACATGGTTCAATTTTATTTCAATAATTCGCTTGTGCGTAGGGGTCTTTGATAGTGGGAGGAAACCGGAGGACCCGGAGAAAACACACGAGGTTGGATAGGATATCCTACTCCTTGTCAAAAAGCATATAGAAACATCAACAATTAACAAGCGTCTTCTTTTAACTTATTTATCAGCGAACGTTCAAAAAAATATGGGATCACGTGGCTAAGTTGGTAAGACGCTGGCTCGCTAGCCTGGAGGTCGGGTGTTCGATCCCTGCATTGGCCGAGAAAGTTCATCCAGATTTTCCGGCGTAGTTCCCCCTTGTCAGTGATGCAGGACGGAGGGCCTGACAAGGACAGCTGTCTAGTCCTTCGGATGAGACGAAAAACCGTAAAATATTCCTTTGCAGTTGGAATTCGATATAAGAGTAGGACGTAGCGCCGCTATCAGGGTAAAATTCCCCTCATAGTACACTGTATGGCACATGCCCGTCTTTATTAGCCCCAGCTGGAGCAGAACAGTTGGACGTTAAACCCCATTTCGTTTCATTTAATAAAATACTATACGTTAATCACCATTTTCTTTCTGGGGTTTGATTTGATATTTGCATAGAGCAGTGGCGGCGCAAAGGGGGGTGGGGGGACCAATATTTTTAAAAATAAATTAAAAAATTGTGATATGGTTTGATAATCAATACCTTCTACAATTATTAAATCTCTCATTCGCACTCAGTCATAGATTTACCTGTTGTTGAGTTTGATTGAGATATTTTTTTTTTTTTTTTGCGTGTCCTAAATCAGCAGTCTATTTATTTTAAAATTTTGTGGTTGAATCTCGCGCCCCATACCCTCCGTAAGGGTTCTCTACGTTGAAGCTCATGAGGGGGCTTCTTCGAGGTTCATTTGACACCTTCCGCCCTGGTCGGATAAACTAGTGGTCAGGTGACTGGTTGTATCTGGTTAGATCTATTGATCTCGACGACCAGTGCCTGAAATGCTGCCTCACTGCAATTCCCAGTTTTTTTAATATTTCTGACGGGAGGAGGGGAATACCCCTGAATGAATCTTGCGCCTTTGCCCCCTTAACCTTGAACTTTGCCCAGCTTTGCCCCTCCAACCCCCGGCGACTGGCGCCGCCACTGGTATAGAAATTGGATGTGCTATTAACTTCACGATCAAACCCACACACTGTCAAGTGAAATAATTCGCCTTCCATTGTCTACCTGTATATAATTAAATCGAGACATGAAAAGCCAATAGCTAATACTACTAGTAATAGTGTGTACTCATATTGCTTTAAGGTTTTATTCATTGAGACGTGGTATACATTGATTTATTTATACAAGCCACTGTTAAAGCTGTTGTGATTGTACAAAATAGTGATCGGAACACTTTTCGTAATTTAATTCAGTACACTGAAAAAAAACTTGTGTTGAAAGAACACAAACTTGTGTAAATACAACACAAGTTAGCTGTCTCTATTTAACAACACAAACTTGTGTTAAAACAACACAAAACTTGTGTTAAATGTTGAAACAACACAAAACTTGTGTTAAAATGTATCAAACAACACAAAACTTGTGTTGAAACTTGTGTGAAATCTACACAATACTTGTGTTGAAACTTGTGTTGAAATTTCTGAAACTTGTGTTGAAATTTCTGAAACTTGTGTTGAAACTTGTGTTGAAATTTCTGAAACTTGTGTGGTTTCATACAAACTTGTGTATAACCATCATCAAAAACTTGTGTTGTATTTTTCCCCAATTTATATCCAGCATAGCAACCTTTCTATGCAGGACCCCTCTCTTTGCTCTGTTAGACCTGTAAAGTTTGATAAAAGAAGGAAACAAAAAAAAATTTTGTAAGATTATTATTTATTCATAAAATCATAGGAAAAAGTAAATTAATACATCAAAACTAAATAGATATTTGAAATGTTAACAGAAAAACAGAGACTTCAATTCTAATACAAATTATATTGTGTTATATATAATGACCCCTCCCCCCCCCCCCACTTTACCCATCACAAAATATAAAATAGCTATTTAAATTGTTTTTTTGCCCCACACACTTTACCCATCACAAAATATAAAATAGCTATTTAAATTGTTCTTTACCCCAAAACAAGAACTGAGAATATAAAGATATGTACACAGTATCCCTACCCCATACCCCAAAATATATAATTCAAATATATCTAAATTTAATAACATCCAAACTAAGCACTAATAAGATTAATTATGCACTAAATTGAAACAATTTCAAAAACTGAAAAATGCTACAAAATCACACTACAAGTGATTTGTGAGGCATCTAGAAATAACTAGCATACACAGAAAACTAACAAAAGAAAATTGCTCTATTTTGCAGGAGTAATAAAATGATGTAGAGCCTTTTCCTCATTAAAAAAAACCCAAACAAAATGAATATTTTATAAATAAAAGAAGCAAAGTATCAAGATTACAGGATTGAAATAAAAAAATATCATATGTACAAAAGATTTATATACAATACAAAGTCATAAGCCACAGTGGTTCAGTGAGCATAAGGCGTTGGCCGCGAAATTTCAACTGGATTTTCCGGCATAGTTCCCACTTTTCAGTGTTGGATATGGCAAGGGATAATTGGGTACAAGCCCAGAATCAAAAGAGAGAGAGACAGAGAGAAATGGGGTTTAACGTCTACTCGACACAAACTAGATCATTTTGGGACTAACATATGGTTTAATTTTATTTCAATAATTCGCTAGCGCGTAGGGGTCTTTAGCAGTGGGAGGAAACCAGAAGTCCCGGAGAAAACCCACAAGATTGGACAGGCGACCCTACTCCTTGTCTACAACCGGGGATTCAAAACCATGCCAGTTGACTCAATGACAGGAGGCCGTATGATACAGCATGCACGTGCTAACCATTCGGCCATCCACCCCAACCCCCCAGAATTGAAACCAACCCAACTGCGTACACTTTGAAGAACCCTTGAAAATTGAATTATTTGAATCAATGACAGACCTTCTGATCAAATGTGTGCGTGTTAACCATTCGGCCCCCCTGGGTACCCTTTAAAGAACCCTTGACAGTTGAAATATTTGATATAAGGGTAGGGTAGAATCACTCTAAGAACACAGAAAAGCAGGATATTAAAACGTATTTCATTTCATAAGCAAGGGAAAGTCACCTTAATGTAGGTCAAGGTTTTTTGTAATTCTGGGTGTATTTGATCTACATTTGGTTTCTAGTAATGCCTATTAAATACTTTATGATTTCCGACCAAATTCTAAGTGATTTATATGTCAGTTTACTTGCTATATTATACATACATATTTGAAGAGAATTAAAATCTAATTGTGTTTTGGAAGAAAATTTAACATTAATAACAAAAAATAAATATTTAAAAATTGGGTCAAATGCATTCTTTCCCAGAAGTATAAAATAAATTGATGCTTGGGTTCTCTTGTTGTTATCATACACCAAATACTCTTTCAAGGGTGTTCCAGCCTAAAAAATAAAAAGTAGGCAATAAGAATACAATGTTTAAATAAACAATTTATTTTGCCACATCGAGACTGAGTCTCTATTTGGTTTCAACTTTGCGTAACGCTTATTGTGTCTTGTCCACTTAAAGACCCAGGCAGATTATTATGCTCAAATCAAATGGGTTAAAAGTCAGAAAAATGAAATGAAATGGGGTTTAACTTCCTACTGTTCTGCTCCTATACTGGGCTAATAATGACGGGCATATGCCACACAGTGTGCTATGAGGGAATTTTTGCCCGGGCAGCGGCACTATCATCTATTCTTATATCGAATTCCAACTGCCAGGAGATCTTTTACGTGCATTCCAATATTCGTCTCATCGGAAGGACTAGACAGCTGTCATTGTCAGGCCAAGTCAGAAAAAAGTCTTGAGATTTGGGACTGAAGTCTCATAATAGGTCAACTATTCACCCGGTTCATACATGTATTGTCTGCAAATCCAGATTCCCTACTACATCATTGGCAGCACCTATTTACTTGGCAATGTCTAATTATTTTTGGACCCATTCTTATTTTATTTCCATTGACAACAAATTGGATATTACCCTTTAAAATCTATTGAAATCTATTTGAAAAGTAAAATATTGTCCATCATTATTTTACTGCTATTTACTGTAATGGATGTGATTGGCAAAAATCAAGCATGCCAAGTACTTGAAATAGCTGAGTCCTAGGCATTGCCCCAAGAAGAATAACTAGATTACCAAGCAAGTGTATAAAACTACTTCCTGATTAAAAATACAAATATGTATGTTACTTACATTTTGCCTGATTATCAAGCTCTGTGAGAAAAGTTTCCACAATATGAATAGCCATTTCCAACTGTTTTTATCTTTCTGATGTAGTTAACTGGAAAAAAACATACTATGTATGAGATGACTTAAATTGACTCAACAGTTAAAAGATGAAAGTTTTAATTTACAGTCTATATTTTACACAAATTTCTGGAGAGAATTAAAATATAATTGTGTTTGAGAGGGATATTTAACATTAAAAACAAAAATAAAATGCAACTGATAACTTATTAGCTTTTACAATCACTATATTCTTTTTCAAAATTATAAGGAGATCACATTGCTAAGAGGGTACGACGCTGGCTCACTAGCCTGGAGGTCGGGTGTTCGATCCCTGAATTGGCTGAGAAAGTTCATCCAGATTTTCCGACGTGTCTTCCCCTTGTCAGTGATACAGGACGGAGGACCTGACAAGGACAGCTGTCTAGTCGTTTGGATGGGATAAAAAACGAGGTCCTGTGTACACATTGGCCTGCATGTAAAAGATCCCTTGGCAGTTGGAATTCGATATAAGAGTAGGCTGTAGCGCCACTGCCCGGGCAAAATTTCCCTCATAGCACACTGTATGGTGTATGCCCGTCTTCATTAGCCCAGTTTATGAGCAAAACAGTAGGATGTTAAACCCCATTTCATTTCATTTTCAAAATTATAAAATAATTTGATGGCTTAATATTCAAGTATTATGACCAGGTAGAATTAGAGCATAGTTAATTTGAGGCCAGAGCCATTATAGATTAGCCAGAATCCTAATTAAAATAAACTCTGTAATTATATTAGAGAGACATTGTTTCATAAATTATTATCTATTGTAAAGTTATTCCAGTAAGGTATTAAGGATTATATTGTAACTAAAAACAAAGCTAAGGTATAAAAGTCCTAACAATTGTATATTAAAGAAAAGGGCAGTTAACCACAGGCAGGCAGGGGACATACTGAAGGGCAGGTCTCTGATAAGTTATTTCTTAGATGCTGTTCCTTATTAAGTTACCTATCCTGTGGGTCAGTATTATATGTATATATTATCTTTGTTAGATATTGTTACAGAATATAAGATTATACTAAGAGAAGTGAGTTATTGAATTATTGTATGTTCAATCGTACACCTCCAACTAGATTGAACATACAACCCATCGTCGAAGGTTGGACTATAAGTAGGTCCATAAACCCTGGATGATAGTATGTGGTTGAGTTGGCAATAAATATACTTTCTACGGTTCACAATTTTTAAATAAATAACTTATTTTTCCACACGTTGAGTCTCTATTTTGTTTCAACTTTGCATAATACTTATTGTGTCTTTTCAAGTTACAGACCCAGGTAGATTATTATGCCTCAATGGGTCAGAAGCCAGAAGAAAAGTCTTGAAAAAAAGACAAAATGAAAAAATAATCATTTAATTTACCAATTATCTCCACTAAGGCAGTGGTGAATACAGTATTGCAAACAGTATTACAATATGATATTAATTATATTTTACAAATTCATGCATTTGAACGCTTTATAATAATGATTATGAAAGGGTGTAACATTGCATCCATCTTATAGTTTTGAAGTCATATAGGTCTTTAGCAGTGGGAGGAAACCGGAGGACCTGGAGAAAACCCACGAGGTTGAACAGGCAACCCTACTCCTTGTCACGTACAACCGAGGATGACAGGCCGTATGATACAGCACGCACATGCTAACCATTCGGCCATCCCCCCCCCCACCAAGTGTATAGAACCAGTTCCTGATTCAAAAAGCAAATATGCATGGTACTTACATAGCCTTTGTCTGATAAGCAACCTCTGTAAGAAAACACTTCCACAATATCAATAGCCCTTTCCAGCTGTCTTGATCTTCCGAGGTGGCTAACTGAAAAAAAATATGCAATGTATTACATTAGTTGGCTTAAATTGACTAGACAGTTTTGATTAAGTCAAAAAATGTTAATTTAACTACATTTGTTTTGTTTCATGTGTTGGTTTGCTTTGCCACAGATGAGACAGTCATATCTAACTAAGATTCTGTCTGTGCTCATACATGTACTGTACAGTTTTACTATACTAAACTGAATTTTAGATTTCAAAATAGCATAACAGCAATCTTTTCTATAAGAATTGAATAGTTACCCACCAAGAAAAAGCTGCTCTATCATCATTTTTTCCAGCCATTTCTTCTTCCATTTTTTTACTTTTATAATTTCTTTTGTTACATGATCTTTTCCTGGGTGATTTGCATATACATCCAATATTGAAACTGAAAAAATAAATACATTATATGTAATTTACCATTAAAGCTACCATACCATATATACAAACTGTGTGATTTGAAATTGAAACTAATGTATCTACATGTATCAAAAATTTTAATCCCAAGGAACTACCTAAGCCGTAAAAATCTATTTTTATAATCCTTGTTTGTCACATGGTTTCAATGTCGCAGTAATTAGAAGACGACCATGGTGACTGAGTGAGTTAGGTGCTGGAATACTAGCATGGAGGCCACAGGTTACCTCTTGGGGTTGACCGAGAAAGCTCATCTTGATTTTTCAGAGTGGTTTCCCCTGAGATCCAATGTACACATTGGCGTACACATAAAAGTTCTCTTGGCAGTTTGAATTCGCTATGAGAGTAGGCCATAGTGTCGCTGCCCGGACAAACATTTTCTCTTAGCACACTGCATTAGACCAGTCGGAGCTGAACAGTAGGACGTTGTCTTTAAACCCCATTTCATTTCAGGTAATCTAGTATTTTTCTAGTAAGATTGAAGTCTCTCTACTTTCTTTATATGTAAATATCATATTTGAAATAAGCCATACTTTTATTCAATATGGGGTGGGGCTGGGGGGAATGGTCTAGTAGTTAATGCATTCACATGAAATCACAGGGTCTGTCATTGTGTTAAGTGGCATGGTTTCGATTTCAAGGAGTAGAGTCGCCTGTCCAATCTCTTGAGTTTTCCTCTGGGCCATTCGGTTTCCTCCGTTTGCTAAATACCCATACCAGCAAACGAATTATTCATATCAAATTTAACCTTACCTGTCCTTTTTCCCGAAACGACCTAGCGTCTGTAGGCTAAGTAGAATGGAACAGTGTGCAGGGAAAGGGTGGAAACGGAAGAAAGCTAATCGTCGTCGTAGTTGATTACCGGTATGCATATAGGCATAGCTTGGACTACTTGATTCTTCAAATACAAGTACACGTAAGGCCTTGTTTATGTCATTTTTCTCTCTCTGTTGCATGTAAGTGTCATATAAATACTTTACTTGGGATTGTATGTTCACATACACTAATCATTGTAGGACATTGGTAAAAAAAAAAAATAGAAAATATAAAAATTAAATGAAATTGTTACCAGTTTTTCTTCAAATTCCAATTCAATGCCAAAATGGAGTCCTTGAACGGTAAATTCTCAATACGGTAATTGCTGTAACTGTAAGGTGGAATGAGTCATATCATCACTGACTGGAAAAAATAATGAAACTATAGAGAAACTTCCACAGACTGATTCTAGTTCCATTATTTATTATTTATTAACTGTGACTGAATCAGGAAAATAGGGGCCTAATAATATTCCAGAGGTTGAACGGAGGGTTTGGGGAAAATATCTGCTTATTTGATTTAAGGTTGTTTTTTTAAACATAAATTAGATTACAATTCAACTAACACAAAAGTGTAAAAAGATTTTTTCTAGTCTGTGCCCGCGTTTATGTCTACTCTTGGCAAAATCTTTATAATATAAAAAATCATGAAACAAGAATCAAAATGTCCGCCAATCCAATCCAACCTCCCAAGATATAATTTCAAAACAGATTCTTACCTGCTGGTTCAAGTCGAGCCGTTTCTGGTTTAATCATAATGTGATTCTGTAATGTACGTATTTGAACAACATCGTAGCGCCGAACAACTAATGTTAATTAAGCACGATTTCAGAAAAATTGAACAGATTTGATAATAACATGCCGAAATTTTTCCCCTGTCCCCGCCCGCCATTTTAAACATGAACTTCCGGGTTAAATTGTTGGAGTTTTTTTTAAGGAAACGAAATACTAATATTATACACAAAAACAATATCGATGCTAAATTACATACATAGAGGATATTTGTCGTTTTAGAGTGAATAACATATTTTATTTCATCGAGAAGCAAGAAAACTTATATTTTCACGAATGCGTAATGTTCTATTTATTTTATGATTTTACAATCATTTTAGGTAAAAACAACTAGCCAGTGGAATAACACTTTTATTTCACTGATAAAACGCGATATTCCACTACTGATCATAAAATAAATGGTATTATTTTTTTTTATATAAATATTCACAAACCTGCGGTCTTTTATTCTCTGTGACCATTAGCTTACATTTGTCAAACATATCACTGCTCAAAAATCATTTCAGCACGCTGTTAAATGGTAAATGAATTGTGTGAAATCAATTCATTTAATGTCCGGTTGCACAGAGATGATATCGCAGACAAACTGTAGCCTATAGTACGTTGATTTTATCAACCAATCACATTAAATAATAGTTTTACTTATTTTCTTGTCAATGCATTTGGAGTCAATTGTTAAAATCACACCGGGCATGAGCGCTCAATAGGCCTTTGATCTACCAGTTTATTTTAACTACAGACATCTTAACACCAATTAGCATTCAAGTCTGTCTGGCCATCATGTCTGAGTAAAAAATACTTTTCTTATACTTGTGGACGCCCGGATTAAGACTTTGTATGGAGTTCAAATTTAAAAAAAAAATATTTGTTGACGGTACACATTACTTGTGTTAATTATATGAAAAAACCCACAAGATTTGTGTTAATGCATTAAAAAGAACACAAGTTTGTGTTAATGCAATGCAAAACAACACAAGTTTTGTGTAGAATAATTTTCACACAAGTACTTGTGTTGAGATCCAACACAAGTTTTTTTTCAGTGTAAATAAGTTGAAATTGTTTTCAACATGTGCGTGTGTTTGTGTGAAATAGGTTTGTTATTGTCCGCTTGGGAAATGAAATCATGCAGCCCCTGTGCAAATGTTTGGTTCTCCTGATTTTTGTCGTTTATTTGCTTATTCTGTGTGAATTATTAACTTGGTCCCCCCAGAACATTCTGGGAGAACACGGCGGCGGTGATTATTTGTATTTCAAGAAATATGACAAACCGAGTTCGGTGGACATTAATCTGGATAAAGTTAAAATTCATTCGAAAAGTTTTATTCATGTTACCGAAGTGGATGGACCCAATATAAGAGAGCCCGGTGATACCAATGTGAATAAATTTGATATAAAACAGTCACCTGTTACATACAGAAAAAAAGAGACTAGTAATAAATGGAATAAAGCAATAAAGATTGGTGAGTTGAGGGATAAAAATAGTACCAAATTGAAAACGAAAGGACCAAAGATAAAACGTAAAACCGACGTGATAAGATCGGATATTAAAATTAGGAACGATTGGCAGCCTGTGGATGATCCAGCCACGTTATTTGTATTTAGTGGGTATTTTGATGACAAATCCAAACATCCTGTGATCCGGATCATTGGTATATCCCTTAGGAACAGAACCCAACCTTACATCAACTGTAGGTTCACGACGAACACTCCCGATGGTCCGATAACCTATCGGCGTGAGGGGTATATCCGAGGATTACCGGAAGACAAAGGCTTGAAGTAAGTAATTGTAGAGAAGCACAGTAGCTGGTCATTTAGAGATGGTTTTGAGTGGTGGGGTGGTCGTGGTGTGGTGTGGTCGTGGTGTGGGGTGGGTGGAGTGGTCGTGGTGTGGTCGTGGGGTGGGGTGGGGTGGTGGGGTGGGGTGGTCGTTGTGGGATGGTGAAACATACTCGTTTTGCGATTGGTTTCTAAATGACAATTTTTGTGTCCATCTTATAAAGTGACAAATTTACCCCAAACTAGTTTTCAGTTGTTTCTGGCCGATAAAAACAAAGAAAAGATATTCCTTTCCGGCTAAGTCTATAATGCGACTACAATTCCGATAAATAATGCGTTGTTTTCTTTAGAAATGCTTGCACTGATATTTACCGGCAAACGTCAATTGAAGTTGCTGTGTGTCAGTCGACGTCGCTGTGCTTCAATTGCATTTTTCGGAAAATACCCGATTTTCTTCAAATTTAATCAACGATGTAATGAACTTAAATGAAAGGAAAATATCAACAAGGGTCGATAATCTTTCGAGAGAGAGAGAGACAGACAGACAGACAGACAGGCAGACAGAGAGAGAGAGAGAGAGAGAGGATTGGATCCGATCCGATTTAAAAGAGGCCGGCCCGTTTAAAGATACGTTATGTAAGAGCTAAACCTGCCTATTGTAGATCTCTCTTTTGGGCTTCAAATGTTATATAAATTATTACTTTAGACATTTATTCACATGGCTAGCCTATAATCAACTCTCTAGATCATCGGATGGTCGAGGTTTTAAATGGATTAAAACACGATCTCCATTTGTCTGTCATTGAGTCAACTGGCGTGGTTTCGATTCCCCGGTTGTATGTGACAAGGAGTACGGTCGCCTGTCCAACTTCGTGGTTTTTCTCTGGGTCCTCCGGTTTCCTCCCACTACTAAAGACCCCTACGCGCAAGCGAATTATTGAATTAAAATTGAACCATGTGTTAGTCCCGAAATGACCTAGTTTGTGTCGCGTGGACGTTAAACTCTCTCTCTCTCTCTCTCTCTCTCTCTCTCTCTCTCAAGAAAGATTAACGACCCTTGTTGATATTTTTCTTTCATTTAAGTTCATTGCATCGTTGATTAAATTTGAAGAATGTTATATAAATTAGACATTTTATTCCCATGGCTAGCCCATAACCATCTCTCTATACCATCATGTGGTCGTGGTTTTCAATAGATTGAAACATGATTTGGGCCCTTATTCACGAAAACTTAAACTAAGTTACAACCGAAATTTTAAGAAATACTGCAACTTCATTGGATATATGCAAATTGATTTTACTGGTCAGCCAATCGAATTGCAGTATTTATTAAAATTTCGATTGTATCTTAGTTTAAGTTTTCGTGAATAAGGGCCCGGCATTTAATAATTTAACTTAAAATTGAATTATCGAGACATTGTTTATTGTCGTAACATTTATACACGCATAACTTCGCTTTTTTCATTTGGACGTAAATTGTCGTCGCCCCTGACCGTCCGTCCGTCCGCCCGTGCATAATTGTTTGTGGACACTCTACATGTCACAATTTCTATCCGATTTCAACGAAACTTGAAATATATGTTTATCTCCCTACGATCTCGGTTCCTGTCGATATTGGCATGTATCGGACCGTAACTTCATGGATTATGGCCCCTGTTTGTACGAAAAATCGCGTTTTAGCTTGTGGACCCTATAGACGTCATAAGTTTATAACCCACAGATCAATATTCGCACATATCGGATCGTAAATTCCTCAATTATGGCCTCTGATTGTACGAAAAATCGTGTTTTTAGCTTGTGGTCCCTCTAGAGGTCACAATTATTATCCGATTTAAAAACAACGTTCGAAATGTGGGTGTATCCTGCCTGGCAGCTACTGGTTAAATTATTATAGCAAGAACGACCAAGATACATAACGTATCTTTAAGGTTTTTAACTAATAATTATAGGTGGCGCTGTCCGGCTTATATCGTTTTCGTTATTGAACAAGTCGATGGTTCGACAATATGGTAGTTTGTAACTTGTAAGGGATTCCCCCATCTCGTTAAAGACTATCTGCTACTTTATATATTGCGATGGTTCACAATATGGTAGTTTGTAACTTGTAAGGGATTCCACGGGATTCCCCCATCTCGTTAAAGACAATCTGCCACTTTATATTTTTCGATGGTTCATATGATAACCACAATAATAATGTATATTTATAGTGCGCAGGCGTGATTTACACCCTATTTTAAAAAAAAAAATTGTAATATTTATTCAATTACTCTCGGTAAAATAGGGCAGTGGCTATTTGCCACATGTGGTAAGCAAGAATTTCAAAATAGCCTTACGGCTACAGACCGCAATTGTTAACCGATTTTAATGAAACTTACAGATTATGATAACATTGATAATATCTCTGAGTAACCAAACTTTCGACCACTTCCGGTTAGCGATTTCAGAGATATCAGGTTACCACACACTTTGATGTGTCACGGCTACAGACCGCAATTATCAAAATTAAGACTACTTCCGGTCAGCAGTTTCCGAGATATCAGGTTACCACACATTTCACGTGGTACGACTGCAGACCGCAATTATCAACCGATTTCAATGAAACTTACAGAATATGATAACATCAATAATATCTCAGAGTAGCCAAAATTTCGACCACTTCCGGTTAGCGATTTCAGAGATATCAGGTTACCACACATTTTGATGTGGCACGGCTACAGACCGCAATTATGAACCGATATCCATGAAACTTGCAGAATATGATTACATTAATAAGATCTCAGAGTAGGCAAAGTGTCGGTCACTTCCGGTTAGCGTTTTCCGCGATATCAGGTTACCACACATTTCATGTGTAGTGATTTTAGAATGTTCACTGTGTTTTAAAATATTCACTCTGTCTTAAAATGCATTATGTAAGAGCAAAATCTGCCTAGTGCGGGTCTTTCTTTTGGTCTAAAATGTTATATAAACTATCATTTATTAACATGAAAAAACCATAATCAACTCTCTAGAGCATTGGATGCTCGCGATTTTCAATGAATTGAAACAAGATAGTCAAAATGGAAAGACTTTGCTAATCTATTATGTAAAGACAGATTTTTAAAGCTGTTGTTTATTGTATTGTAGATATCGGTAATTGTTTTATAATTAACCTAGCTGAGATATAAAATTGTTAGATGTCTTTTTCATCACACATTTTTGGCAGATAAAATATTCCAGTTGGCGGAAAAAAAATATGAAAGCTTTTTTTTATATAAAAAATTATCATCCATTTTGGCGGGGAAAAATTGAAAGCCAGTATAGCAATTACACCCGAGTTCAGCTATTCTCCAAAGAGCCATAACTTCGCTCCGAATGAAGTAATTTGACTGAAATATACAATATATTAATTTTATTTTCTATTTTTAAACGATTATAGCACGAACGTCCAACTCTTTATGTAAATCTTATATAATGTATCTCTAATATAACTATTATAGCACGAACGTCCAGCTCTTTATCTAAATCTTATATAATGTATCTCTAATATAACTATTATAACAAGAACGTCCAGCTCTTTATCTAAACTTTATATAATGTATCTCTAATATAACTATTATAGCAAGAACGTCCAGCTCTTTATCTAAATCTTATATAATGTATCTCTAATATAACTATTATAACAAGAACGTCCAGCTCTTTATCTAAACTTTACATAATGTATCTCTAATATAACTATTATAGCAAGAACGTCCAGCTCTTTATCTAAATCTTATATAATGTATCTCTAATATAACTATTATAACAAGAACGTCCAGCTCTTTATCTAAATCTTACATAATGTATCTCTAATATAACTATTATAGCAAGAACGTCCAGCTCTTTATCTAAATCTTATATAATGTATCTCTAATAGAACTGTTATAGCAAGAACGACCAGCTCTTTATCTAAATCTTATATAATGTATCTTTAATATAACTATTATAGCACGAACGTCCAGCTCTTTATCTAAATCTTATATAATGTATCTCTAATATAACTATTATAGCACGAACGACCAGCTCTTTATCTAAACTTTACATAATGTATCTCTAATATAACTGTTATAGCACGAACGACCAGCTCTTTATCTAAATCTTACATAATGTATCTTTAAATAGGTGATATGAGCATCCTATAGTGATACGCCAAGATAATAACATCAATATTGATTGAAGTAGACAAGAATTAAAATCTAATTCACGTGTTTAATTTAGAATATATTTATTTAATACACATATATTGGTTCTTGTTTATGATTGCATATTAAAGATACATTATGTAAGATTTAGATAAAGAGCTAGCCATTCTTGTTATAATAGTTCGACAATAGATAATGTAAAATGAATAATTTGAAAATGTCATTCAAATTACTCTATTGCGAGCGAAGGTATTAGCCTTTGAAGGTTTGACAAGACGTGTGCAATAATTTCAACCACCGTACTGGTTGTTCGGAGCTAAGTCTCGCTCCTAAATTTTTAGATTAAATCAAAATATGGCTGAACCGTTCTAATCTATTTAATATCGCAGTGGTGTAGGACGGAGGGCCTGACAAGGACAGCTGTCTGGTCGTTCGGATGGGACAAAAAAACCGAGGTCCCGTGTACACATTGGCTGCACGTAAAAGATCCCTTGGCAGTTATATGATTCGATATATGAGTAGGTCGTAGTGCCGCTGTCCGGGCAAAATTTCCCTCATAGCACTTTGTACGGCGTATGCCCGTCTTCATTAGCCCAGTTCGGATGGCCGAATGGTTAGCACGTGCCTATCATGGAGTCAACTGGCGTGGTTTCGAATTCCCGGTTGTACGTGACAAGGAGTAGGGTCGCCTGTCCAACCTCGTGGGTTTTCTCCGGGTCCTCCGGTTTCCTCCCACTGCTAAAGACCCCTACGCGTAAGCGAATTATTGAAATATAATTAAAACATATGTTAGTCCCGAAATGACCTAGTTTGTGTCGAGTGGCCGTTAAACCCCATTTCTCTCTCTCTCTCCGTAACCAACAACGACCACAGACATAGCATGACCTCCCGGTGATTCAGTACGTACATGTCGTATATACCAACTAGTAATTGAAAGAGGAAAAAAAATATAGCCATATATAGAAATATATTATTTCGTTTTATTATTGTATTGAATCTTTCTTTGGGTGTGTTTCCCATATTCATTGTAGGACTACCAAAGTGTTAATAATGTGAGCGTGTTAATAATGCGAGTGTTTTAATAAAGAATTCTGTATTTATACTGTGTTGTAGATATTTATATAATTTATCCATTAGTATACAGCGTACTATATTCTATACAGGTATTGTATACTGACTTGAATGGGGGTATTAGTACAATATATATATATATATATATCTACAGGTAGTCATAATAAAATGAATAATATCACAGCTGTTTTGGAGATTATCAAGTTGCCACATAATTCATAGGGCATAGATGCAGATCGCATTTAACAACTTATTTCACTGTTCAGATTATTATAAGATTCACCGAAATGAATTGCTGTGCTAAATGAAATGTGTGGTAACCTGATATCCCTTAAATATGTTAGTCCCGAAATGACATAGTTTGTGTCGAGTGGACTTTAAACCCCCTTTCTCTCCCTCTCTTGTCCTACACATTTGTTACTGTACTTGCTTGAAAACGTTGAGAAAATACCATCACCAGAATCAGTGCACATAATTCTAATATTGAGATAAGCAGGTCGCTTCTACCATGGTTCTGGATAGATGATAACCCAACATCACGCTGATTGGTACCATGTAGTGATGTCGTGATATCGACCTTCTTAAGGCGACAAGCCCACATCGCGACATTTTAACCCGACATCACGACAACCCGTCGACTCGACAATGCGACATTTTTACGCGACATTACGACATTTGTAAGCGACATTACGGCCATTATAATGTCATGTTGTCGCGTACAAATGTATGCTCGGGTTAAAATAACCTCTTAGAGTCTGGTCAACTAATAACCTTTACGATTCTGGTCAACTAATAACCTCTAAGAGTCTGGTCAACTACTAACCTCTAAGAGTCTGGTCAACTACTAACCTCTAAGAGTCTGGTCAACTACTAACCTCTAAGAGTCTGGTCAACTAATAACCTCTAAGAGTCTGGTCAACTAATAACCTCTAAGAGTCTGGTCAACTAATAACCTCTAAGGGTCTGGTCAACTAATAACCTCTAAGAGTCTGGTCAACTAATAACCTCTAAGGGTCTGGTCAACTACTAACTTCTAAGAGGCTGGTCAACTAATAACCTTTAAGAGGCTGGTCAACTACTAACCTCTAAGAGTCTGGTCAACTACTAACCTCTAAGAGTCTGGTCAACTACTAACCTCTAAGGGTCTGGTCAACTACTAACCTCTAAGAGTCTGGTCAACTAATAACCTCTAAGAGTCTGGGCAACTACTAACCTCTAAGAGTCTGGGCAACTACTAACCTCTAAGAGTCTGGTCAACTACTAACCTCTAAGAGTCTGGTCAACTAATAACCACTAAGAGGCTTGTCAACTAATAACCTCTAAGAGTCTCGTCAACTACTAACCTCTAAGAGTCTCGTCAACTACTAACCTCTAAAAGTCTCGTCAACTACTAACCTCTAAGAGTCTCGTCAACTACTAACCTCTAAGAGTCTTGTCAACTAATAACCTCTAATGGTCTGGTAAACTACTAACCTCTAAGATGCTGGTCAACTAATAATCTTTAACTACATTACCCGCGGGGCATTTTGACCACTTGTGCTCACGATTCACTGTAATGTGATTTCCTCTCTCTCTCCCTCTCTCTCTCTCCCTCTCTCTCTCTCTCTCTCTCCCTCTCTCTCTCTCTCATATACCGTGTTTATGTTATATTTCAGATATTTTGGAGTGTTTGTGATTTGCAAAATAAAACCAGATGACAGACCCTCGACGGTTTCAGTCAGTCTGAAGACTCAAGAATCGATGAATAAAATCCGAATTTCCTATCCAGATCCTCCACAAGTAGAGTTTGCCGTTTGTTTTCCTGCTGTTACGTCTAAATATAACAATATCTTTGAACTGGTTCAAACCGTTGAAATGGCGCGAATATTGGGCGCGCAGAAGTTTTATATCTACGACCATGGTGCTCCGCCGGAAATCCGGCGCATTCTTCATTTATATAGACAACAGGGACTATTTGAGGTGATTGAATGGAAACTTCCTGTTTTCGAGATTCATTATTTTGGCCAGCTCGTGGCTGTGAATGATTGTTTGTATAGAAATGTTGGGATAACTAAATATGTTTTGTTTATGGATTTGGATGAAATGGTGATACCAAGACAACACAGCACGTGGTTGGAAATGATGAAAGTTCTCGATAAAGAAAAGGGAGGCTACTCCACATTTTATTTCCAAATGTCCTACTTTCATAAAGAATGGGAAGATGTCTACGATAGGCTTGAACAATTTAAACTCAACCAAACGGAATTAGTTAAGAAGTTCCGCATTCAGTTGTTATCGAAAATTTGGCGGGAAGAACAAATTCAGAAAGTAAAATACAGATCTAAATATTTCGTTCGTCCTGAAAAGGTGGAAACACTCGCCATTCATGTTGTTTATACCTACAGGGATCGCAGCCGATTCAACGCAGTCGATCCTAAAATAGCCATTGTTCAGCATTACCGGTTGCGGGGAAATCATCCAGCGCGTGTTCTCGATTGGTCAGCTAGACGCTTTACAAAACCATTAATAAACATGGTCGGCGAAACATGGCTGCAGTTGATGGAAGAAGACTGAACTTGTTCAAAATCATCGAATTCGCTTTGGCGAATCTAGTTGACTATATGGGTCACAGGGGTATTATGTCCATTCGGACCTTATATTCGTTGCGTGGGGTACACAGGGGTATTATGTCCTAATGGACCTTATAATCGTTGTGTGTTATAGCCGTCGTGTGGCGCGCACACAGTATATGTCCCTGTTGATGTTATAGCCGTCTTGTGGGCTGCACACAGTTAATATGTCCTTTTCGATGTTTTAGCCGACTTGTGAGGTTATAGCCGTCTTGTAAGGCGCACACAGTTAATATGCCCCTGTCGATGCTATAGCTGTCTTGTGGGGCGCACACAGTTAATATGTCCCTGTCGATTTTATAGCCGTCTTGTGGGCCGCACACAGTTAAATGAACGTGAAAGGACTTCGTGTTAAAGTTTCCAGCATTAAACACCAAAGCGGTTCACACACGCACAATATTTTTAGGAATACAATTGTCGATAATGAATATTGACAATACTATTGCTGGTCTGTGATTGAAGTCTTGTGAAATATATTGGCGAAATCAAAATCAGTTGATTAAGGCGAGGACAACTGATCATTCCATGATAAAGGATGACAGTTGGACAGAAATGTCACTATCCGTCCTCATCAGCCCAATTGATGCAGCGGGTCAGATGGCCGAATGGTTAGCGCGTCGGTGTTGCATCATAAGGTCTGTCATTGAGTCAACTGGCGTGGTTTCGATTCCCCGGTTGTACGTGACAAGGTGTAGGATCGCCTGTCCAATCTCGTGGGTTTTCTCCGGGTCCCCCACCCTCTCTCTCCATCTCTCCCAATTGATGTTGATAAGTAGGACACTAACACCCAAAGCCATTAAAAACTCAATGCCAAATTCAAAGTTTATTTACTGCAACAACTTTTAACAAATGTACATAACAATTGACAAAATCGAGATAACAAGCATCTGTGGATAATTTCATGAAAGAATTCACCACAAATGCACAAAACCGAAACGTCAGAGAACCATGAAACAAAGCAGGGGTCAGCTGAAGTCAATATCGGGTATGCCCACCCTGAGCTCTTACACATGCCTGAAGTCGCCTTGGCATGGACTGGCACAGATGTCTCACTACACGCTGTAGGGCTGTTTGAGGGCTGATCTGACGTTGCCGTGTTCCAACAGTTCCCCTGGCAGTAGCAGTAGCTGAATGGAACCTGTTGCGCAGAAGCTGTAGTCGGATGTGGCGTTCCAAGTCGGGGTCGATCGGCAACTCTTCCAGTGGCGTGGAAGCGTTGCCTGCGGCAAACAATGGTCGATGTGTGGACATTAAAGTGACTGTCGACGGCTACCTGTGAAGCCCCCCGATCCAGCATGGAAATAGCTGTTCCTGTTTTCTTTTGTTAGGCGTGTTTGTTTTGTTTCCGAATTGATGAATGTTAAATTTTTTATCTGTATTTAAAGGGCCAGAGTGAAGGGAATGCACGTGCAAAAAGACAAAGTGTTGCGTTTGCACGATCAAAGTTCATTACCGAGAACTGATATTGGGTTCAAACCCAGAACTCCTCAAAAAGAGATCCATCACATGTTTCGCCTATGTGCCATAAGGCATTGCGCTTTTAATGGCTTTGGGTATATTATAATAAAGTGTAAAAAATGAAATTATATAAATATATGTATACATAACCCAAAATAAGTTTTTACATTAAAACTATGTACATTGTTAAACACTGCCACGTTTTCATCAATCCATTTAGAAGCACTTTAATATTTTGCTGTATTTTCCGTTCCATATAGCAACACTTTAATATTTTGCTGTGTTTTCCGATCCATATACCAGCACTTTAATATTTTACCGTGTAGGAGGTAAAATATCCATTGATATTTTTTGTAAATTTATTAAAATTTAGATTATTGCATCCCTTTTTAGTGATGCAGGACGGAGGGGCTGACAAGGAAAGCTGTCTAGTCGTTCGGATGGGACGAAAAACCGAGGTCCCGTGTACACATTGGCGTGCACGTAAAAGATCCCTTGGCAGTTGGAATTCGATATAAGAGTAGGCCGTAGTGCCGCTGTCCGGGCAAAATTTCCCTCATAGCACACTGTATGGCGTATGCCCGTCTTCATTAGCCCAGGTTAGGAGCAGAACAGTAGGACGTTAAACTCCATTTCATTTCATTTCATTTCATTTCAGATTATTGCAACCTACTTATGCAATCTGATTAAAATATATTTCGTTTCGTTTTTTTATACTTTCGATGGTCTACAATAAGAAGATCTGACCGGTTGTAGCGATAGGTCGCGTCAGAGGTCATACGAGCGGCTTTTGACCCTATGACGTCAGATATTTGATTAACCGATGAGCATTGATGTTACTAGTGGATTACCCACAGTTTCGTGCAAACTAAAGCTCGCCGTAACAGACCGTTTCAGTGGCTACTACCGCACGTCATTGATAAAAACACTTCCAGATCCTAGGGGGGGGGGGGGGGGGGTGGCCCAATGGTTAGCACGTGCGCGCTGTATGATAAAGCCTGTCATTGAGTCAACTGGCGTGGTTTCGAATCCCCGGTTGTACGTGACAAGGAGTAGGGTCGCCTGTCCAACCTCGTGGGTTTTTTTACTCCGGGTCCTCCTTTTTCCTCCCACTGCTAAAGACCCCTATACGCGCAAGCGAATTATTGAAATAAAATTAAACCATATGTTAGTCCCGAAATGACCTGGTTTGTGTCGAGTGGACGTTAAACCCATCCCTCTCTCTCTCTCTCTCTCTCTCTCTCTCTCTCTCTCTCCAGATCCTAGTTTAGTAAAGACAAGTAAAACAAAATTTTGAACTATAAAAAACGAAACGAAATAGGATCTATGTTTTAATCAGTTTGTCTAATTATTGCACTCACCGAGGTTTTGTTATGGAAGCCTATTGCGGCCATTTCAGAATCTCGTCCCCTCGCCTTAACTTACCTGTACCTACCTGTAGATACGAATCTTCATGTTGTGCATCCCACTTATCGTCGTTGCCATCGATAAATATTGTCATCGTCGTTTTCCATAAAATAGAACTTTATTGAGATTTGTGACATTTTATTGTACAAGTAGTTGTTAGAAATGATGCGAAGATGATTTATTAATCGAACAAATGTTTATGAAAAGCAATCAAGTAGTTTAGATATACATGATGGGAGATAAGATAAAGAGATGACAGTTCTCACTATAATAATTAACAACTAGATAATGTAAAGGGAATTTGCTGAAAATTTCAGTCAAATTGATTCACTATGAACCGAGAATTAAGGATTGAAAATTCGTCCTAGCCTTGATCATCATTACTAAAGTCTGTACGATAATAAAACATAGTCTCGATCATCCATTTCATGTTTAAATTATGAATGGATGTCGAGCAGCAAATTGGGTCATAATCCAGTACATATCGCAGGCTAGCAATGCAATTGAGAGTTGATTATGGTCTGGATAAGTTAATTAATGTCTAATTAATAATTTAGATAACATTTCAGGTCTAAAGAAAGACCCGCAATAGACAGATTAGCTCTTGGATGTTTAAGTAAACTAGACGTCACACCTGGGTGTGTTTAATAATCACAACAACTCAACAAAATATGGAAGCCTATTGCGGCCATTTCAGAATCTCGTCCCCTCGCCGCGAGAAGTCGAGGGCGAGAACACGAGAAGACGAGAAGTCGAGGGCGAGGGAGCGAGAACGCGAGAACGCGAGGGAGCGAGAAGTCGAGGGCGAGGGAGCGAGAGAGCGAGAACGCGAGGAAAAAGGGCGAGAATACGAGGATCTCGCCTCGAGAACACGGGATTACTTTCACCTCGACTTCTCGTCCCTCGACTTCTCGCTCCCTCGTGTTCTCGCCTTTGAAAAACCTCGTGTTCTCGCTCCCTCGCCCTCGACTTCTCGCTCCCTCGCCCTCGACTTCTCGCTCCCTCGCGTTCTCGCCCTCGACTTCTCGCTCCCTCGTGTTCTCGCCTTTGAAAAACCTCGACTTCTCGCTCCCTCGCTCCCTCGCCTTTGGGTCAATCTCGTCCTCTCGCTCCCTCGCTTCGTCACAATCTCGACTTCTCGTCCTCTCGTGTTCTCGCCTCGGAAGTGCAGTTTATAACGCATGTCCACTGACTACCGTATCGGCATTTGTATTCAGTCTGGTATTTTCATTCAAAGTCAAAGCCGATGGAAGCTCTAGCGATCAACAAAATTCTCAATGATTTGGGCTTAATCCATCTCTTAGATGTATTTACTGACAATTCCGTAAGTACTAAAGTAGCCTATCCTGTAGATAGATACGACTACAAGTTTTGTTTGGATTGTTAAGTTTAAATTTTGTCTCAGAATTGAATTACCCTTTTGTGTAGTCTCAATCAATATTATTATTAAGCGAAAACGCACATCTTTAGGCCCGTGACGTGTAGCCTATATTTACTTCATTTTATTTAAATGTTAGGCCTAGATATTGGATATTTTCACAGGTTACCGATACCAGTTTAATTATGTTATTTGTTAATATACCATAGGTAAACTATTTATTAAATTCATTTCATAACCCTAAGCCTAGTCCGGGATGGGATATCGTATTCTATTTATAAATTCAATACGTGACAAATCGGTCGTTTGCTGGGTTAATTTGGCAAGGTTGCATAACTTGCACGTGCTAATTCCATTGGCATTGATCATACAATTTGGTTGCTTAAAGCCCCAATAACACTCTTGTTGTAATTGAATAATATGTCCCAATTTTTATTCTGGTCAACAAAGTGTATTATTTTACAATATTCAAATAAATTGATGATACAAATTTCATCGTAACACACCTAATTTAAAAAATTGGAAAAATTCAACTACATGATTTGAAAAGGTTAACGTAGACCTTTTCAAATGTGACTTGGATTTTAAAATATTTTCGAACCCTCTGGACAAGTAAAATAGGTTGTAATGGATAATTTACACAACAGGTAGGACACATAAACATCTGGTACTTAGAATAAGACTATTAATTATTTTCTAGAGCTGCCAAGCCAGCAAGAGTGTTATTGTCCCTTTAACAGTAACAGCTAGGTCACTCGGTACAGTTAGGTGCCCTATAGATTTCCGTGTTCTGGAGGCGTAGTCCTATAATTGACCGAACGTTGCCATATTACTATTTTATAATTATTGGATGTGGATGTGATTAAATGCGGCTTCTAAATCTGACTGCAACTCTAATATTTTAATTGGATGTGAGTATAATTATAATACATTATTATCATTCCGGGGAAATTTAGGTCTTGTCATTAGAACTAGGCCTATTACAATAATATTTGGTTGTGAAAACTTCGTTTCTATTCGTCCACATGCCCATCTTATATTGTCATTTGAAAAACTATAACAACTAAACAAGTAGCCTATTTATAAAGTCCTATAAAACTTCCAGTAAGTCTGTATGTACATTTTTCTACTTTCTATTCTAGTAGCTGTTGATCTGTCAGTGACCAGGGTTTAAGCCACCTGTGCAGATGTCATCAAGGTCACTTTAAGATGTAAACAGCGTTAATTATAATTAGGCTTTTAATTAGGGCATGTGATTGTTGTGGAGGATTTGTGGGGTTAGGGCTAGTAGCACTAGTTCCCTAGCATCTCATGTTGAAAAACTATGATAAATATGGCCCATGATGCTTGATCACCTTTGAAAAGTTGTGTTGATGCTCAAGATCTAGAGGTTAAAGTTAATATCGAATTGACTCTAAATTTACACACAGTTTAAAGGTCATGAGATGAAGAATCCTATTGATTTTCAACATTTTCCAATAGTTACTGCCAGAGTTATGGCCCTTGATCTCTTTAAGATATCTTGTTGACGGAATAATATTTATAAACTTAATATCAATTGACTTTTAAATTTAAAATAGCATTATGCAAGAGAAAAATCTGCTTATTACAGGTCTTTCTTTAGGCCTGAAATGTTATCTAAATAATCAATTAGACATTAATTAACATATCCAGACCATAATAAACTCTTTATGTCAAGGCTAGCCTTCGATGTTGGCGGATTAAATTCCTATATGCAGCTTAATGGCCGTTGATAATTAAATCAATCAAGTGGATAATCGAGACTATACTGTTTATATTAATGATTTGAGTAATGATGACCAAGGCTATGTGAATATTGGAAACGCTTTTTTCTCGGCTAATAGTTGATCAATTTGACTGAAATTTTCAGCAAATTACCTTTACACTATCTAGTTTTTAACTATTATAGTGAGAACTGCCATCTCTTTATCTTATCTCCCATTATGTAACTTTAAAGAGTGTTTTAGGCCACAAGACACATTAGCCTATTTCCAATAATTACTGCTAGAGTTATGGCCCTTTATCGCTTCAAAATATCTGGTTGACATTCTAGATGCTAAAGTTAATAAACATCTGATTGATTTTAGATTTATATGCACTGTTTAAATTCACGAGACACAGAAGATTATTGATTTCAACAATTACTGCCATACTGTAGCGCGTGACCTCTTTCAAAAATTTTGTAGACTCTTGTGGCTAAAGTTAATATCTGATTGACTTTAAATAGAGATTACTATCATGAGACAAAGAATCCTATTCATTTTCAAAGATTTCTGATAATTACTGCCAGATTTAAGGTGGAGTGTGGACGCTCTAGAGGCCAAAAATCAATTCATGCATTCATTCACTCTAAAGGCCAAAGTTGATATAAATTGTTTAAGGTCATGAGACAAGAAATCAAAACAAATGGTTTCTGATGATTTATACTTCATGGGTTATTACTTGTAATCAGATTTTCATGTGTTGTAAATGTTCTCATTACTGACTAAAGAAAAAATATGCTTTGGGCGTATGGTGTATGTTTTGTTGCCTGGCAAGAGTGGCAACCTATCTTCTATTTTTTTTACAAAGGTTTTGTTAAAGGCACTGAGGGACCCATGGTGGCTCGCTAACTGTCCTGTGTTTGATCCCTACATTGGCTGAGAAAGTTCATTGGAATTTTCCCGTCTGGTTCGTAGTTCCCCCTGTCAGTGATGTAGGATGGAGGGACAATGCATAGCGGTAGTCGTTCAGATGGGATGAAAAACAGGGATCCTGTATATACATTGGTGTGCACGGAAATGATCCCTTGACAGTTGGAATTTTGTAATAACATACTGCATGTCAAGCCCATCTTCATTTTGCCCGGTCGGAGCAAGACTGTAGGATGTTAAACCCCAATTTATTTTATTTCATTATAATCCGTATGTGTGGGCGTATGTTTCGTTGCCTGGCAACCTATTTTTTGATTTAAAAAGTATATCACCATTACACCCTAATGATGTTTGAATTTTGTGAAAATCGGACCAAAACTGTCAGACAAAATGGCCGCTCTTTGTCTGCAAATTGTGTATATAAGTAATACAAAGGTTATGGATACCCTCTAGGAGTCACAATTTTGATCCGATTTTAATTAAGCTTAGACCATATCTTCATATATTAAAAAAATCTTAGTCCCTTTTGATATTTGTGTATTTCAGAGCGTTACTTTTTGGATTATGGCCCCTGATTGTACCAAAATTTTTTGTTTTTTTTTAGCTTATTCTCTTTTCATCCCTTGCAAAGTGTGGGAGTTTCCTGCCTGGCAGCTGCTGATTATCCGATTTTAACGAAACTTAAAATATATCTTTATATCACAAAGATGTCAGTCCCTTTTGATATTTGCGCAATTCAGATCATAACTTTCTGGATTATAGCCCCTGATCGCATGGAAAATCACTTTTGTTCCAGCTTGTTCTCTAACCATCTCTTGCAAAATGTGGGCATATCGTGTCTAGCAGCCGCTGGTTTTCTTAATTAATATATGTTTATTTAACAGGTTGGCCCTCCAGAAGTTCTAACATTAACCGATTCAGAATTTAATTTCCTTGGTGTGAGTGCTATTGGGGACCGTGCTAGGTTGAGACAGAGATGTAGAACATATTTGAATGGTAAGTAGCATGTGCAAAGTCTGGGGATAGCGATAGTAGATGTTGGCAAAACGGAAATACTGTTAAAAGTATGGATTGTAGTTAACTCATGTGTACAAACAAGAAATGTCAATGACAGACGGAAGTTATCGAAAATCTTTAGCCAATTTTAACCCCCAGAGTTAACTACAATCCATATTTTTTTTAAATCGAAATAAGCGCCGTTTATTTTCGATAAAGACCACTAGAGTTATGCCCCAGAGTTAGAACTTTATAATTTATATGCTGCATTTATTAACTTATTTTTATATGCCCACATATGAAATACGTTGTCACCAATGTCTGTCTGTCGGTCCGCCTGTCAATAATTGACTTGTTAATGCTATTGTGGATACAGTTTTTAACAGATTTTTTTTTCAAATTTGTTTTCTGGAATATGATAACTGCTACAGTGTTTTTTTTCAAATTGGGTGTGATGAATTGGGGTCATGAGAGGATGAACCCTATTTCTGCATCCTTCTATTTCAGATGTGCTGCTGTCGAGGCAGAGCTGCTGTGTAGGCGTAATTACACACTTTGCAAGGCTATGTTTATAATATTTCAGTAATATATGCAATTGTCATATATCTGCAGTTTAATTATGTCTTTTTGAAATTTTTATCCTGTTAGCTGAATAACTGCTGGTAAATTTAGCTGCGCATGTATGTTCTCATTGAAACTAGAACTTAACTTTAAGGAATATTGGGTATTAATTCCTTGTGTTTAGTTAAATTTCGTGGTCTAGATTTGTCTTTGAAATGGCTGCAGATCTTTCATATATAATGCATACCTCAATATGCTCAGTTTATCATTTTGAAGATTTTCAAAATCAGATACAGGTATTTTTAAAATCAAATAAGTGTTCTGACTGTACTATGAATGCTATATATGGATGACTGGCATATTGCCCTTGCTTGGCAGATTTAATCTGGCTGATTTAATCTGGTTCTTGTATGGCAAATGCATTTTCCATTCATTGGTTTTGACTTCACAAATTCAAATTTTCTAGGTCAGTGTGAATCGCCATCTTTAAAGAAATTCAAAGAGCTATCAGAAAAGAAAAAAACACAGAATAACAACAAGTTCAAGTCCAATCGTAGATTATATACTGGGTGGAAGTTATCTACAGGACAGAGTTTTAAACTAGTTCCACTATCTCAAGGAGGGGGATCTATAATTATGGATCTTCCCAAAGAGTATTCTCTTCCAGACCTTCAAAAAAAAATGATTGCAACTTTCTTCCCAGATGGTCAAGCAGTCCATAAAAACATAAAACTTTCACATTGTGAAACATTCATCGGAAATTTTGCTGGTGAACGTGTGCCATCAAGACTGTTGAATGGTGATCTTTTTTCCCTTGATGGATATTTTTCTGAGATAAAATCTAATCCTGTGAGATTATATTTGTATGCAAAAACCACAACGGTTAATCAACCACCATCACCATCAACTTCAACTACCACATTAAATCAACAAACTTCAGCTACATTAAATCAACCACCATCTCCATCAACTTCATCTACCACATTAAATCAACAACCTTCAGCTACATGTACTCAACCACCATCATCATCAACTTCATCTACCACATTAAATCAACAAACTTCAGCCACATGTACTCAACCACCATCATCATCAACTTCATCTACCACATTAAATCAACAAACTTCAGCTACTTGTACTCAACCACAACTAGCAATTAATGCTGTAAATTATGCAACAAATATCATCAATGATGACACAGATGATGAACTACCGGATATCTCATTTTATTCAGGAACACCAACTGTAAGTATATAAATAGAATAATTTATAATCAAGATGCAATTTAAAATGATGTTGAGGGTACAAAAAATACAAAAAAGACTATTGAAAATTTAGGACAAAGTTGGGCCTTTAACTCTATTCAGTTGAGCCCTCACTCACCAAAGGACCTTGGCCAATATTTTAAAGTCCATTAATCATAGAATGGCTACCGATTTATTTTGAAGAATAAGACGCAACCACCTTTAGTCTGCTCCAGTAATCAGACTGATATCAAATCCCAAAGTAAAAGTTAAATTTGTCAGAAATACTCAATTTTTTAGCCCTCTTTTCAGCCCACCCAATGATCTTTCTTTATTATTTAAAATTGGCACAGCAGTCTTCATTATTGTGTGTACGTGTATGCCATCTTATGAAATAAGCGATCTTTTTACTTGCAGATAACCTTCAAGAAAAGTAAAAAGTAAGTAAATTGTCTTTAATAAATGATACTTTTGTTGGGCATATGCTCCATATTTTGAAATGATCCTCACAAAACTTTTAGGCTAGATTAAAACACTCACCCAGAAGGGGACAAATTTATATCATCATATTCATAGGCATATCTTTAATTCAGGCTTTAGATAAGGCCTGGTAAACCAGAGTCAATTGGTTTTAAAGGGTAAATGACTCTCATCAGCAAAGATTTTGCCCATTTGATTAGATTAATGCTTTCTTCACATGCATGGAAGTGGTGTGACTGTAGTTGATTCATTCTGGTATGAACTGATAATTTTTATGTGATGTGTTCGTAATGACAGACTGTTCTTTATGCAATTGTTATGAGCATAAGGTATACCGGTAGATCAAATTTCATTTGAGTGATTTAACAAGCATGTATTCTAGAGTTATCGTCCAAGTCTAATATCCAGTTTACCAAATGCATATATTTAGATTTATGCCTTACTCTTAAGCACTGATATCTTAATTTTATTTTCAGAGCTGAGAGCTTGGAAGAGATTCTAGTTCGCTTGAATAGTCAGATAAAAAATGAGAAAAACATCATCAATGTAAGCCGAGGTGATGTTTTGTCTGGAACAAGGAGAGCGTTTTCCAGAAAAACCTTCAGGCCCGAATTCGGTTAAAGAGTCAAATTTTCAGGGGAAAATGGTATCGATGATGGGGGACCATCCAGAGAACTTTTACAACTTCTAATGAGCTCTATAAAAGATTCACAAGTGTTTCAAGGGTCAGAGTGTAAAATGCTCTGTCCTGATATCCCCAGTAAGTATCAAATGCACAGGTGAATCATACTAATAAAATCAGCATTGTCAACTGAAATCAACCTTTGTGACCATGCTTCCACTTGCTCCCAAGTAACCAGTCAGACTTACTGACATTATCTTGTTATATGCTCACATTTTAGTATGGTTATATATTGTCATTATTCCGGTTTGTCATAATATCTTGTTAACACCATGGAGGTTTTTAGTTTTGATTATATCTGAGCCAATTTGGTTGCCTATTCGATTAAAGGGAAAAATGCTATTTTACGGATATCTTCAAGTTATTTCCTTTTGCTATATATATCTTGTGGTCTTAGTGGCTTTATAGTCTGGGGTTTTAATGTTCTACTGTTCGGCGCTGAACTAAACTAATGAAGATGGGAATACGCTTACTGACTTATATGCGCATGCCAATGTTGTCATCAGACATTGGTTTTCCATCCGATCCGAACAACTAGACAGCTGTCCTTGTCGGGCCCTCGGTCCGGCATCACTGACAAGGGGGAACCACACTGGTAAATCTGGATGCACTTTCTCAACCAATGCAGGGATCGAACACCTGAGCTCCAGACTAGCGAGCCAGCGTCTTACCCACTGGAGGCTCAGTGCGGGGATATCTATTAGCTTAACTGCACGATTTAAATTATTTTTCAGGTGAAGAAAGAGATGATTACAGACTGTTTGGAAAAATCATATCATATTCAGTAATTCACCAAGGTAAGTATTTTGATATTCATTCCTTTTAACATTAAGTATATAGTGATGCAGGTAGCTGCAGTTACAATTGAATTTCTGGATGTTATCAACTTGGATGTCTGTAGTATGTCTGGGCATAAAAATGTCATTAGACACCACTTAAGATGAATTTTGAACAATAATCTATCGCTTTATCTACATTTAAGCCTAGAGAGATTTTGAAATTAACAAACAGCATAGGTATCTGCAGTTATTGTTGAACTTTTGAAAGCAATATTGTATCATTGTAGTAATACAGTGTCATTTCAAGTATATATAGATATTTAACTGATATTATGCATATACCAGCTACCTATATTCTGTCTTGATATTTATCCTTATCATACAAACAAATTTCTGAGTGATTTTCCTTCCAGATTGATGTAAATTAAAACTAAAAACCTAAAACAAAATTATTAAATTTCTTTTATTATGTTTCTACAGATTTAATCAATCTGTTTTATTTAGCTTACTTTATTAGACTGCAGATGTTTGCAACCTTTAATTGGTGTTTTAATTTTAAACAACCTTTAAAGATACATTATATAAGAGCTAAATCTGCCTAATGTGGGTTTTTATTTAGGCCTCAAATGTTATAAAAACTATTATTTAGATATTTACTTATTACTTGACAAGCCTATAATCAACTCTCCAGCAGATGTAAATGGATGCAATACGATTGCCATTTAATGATTTAATTCAAACGTGGAGACGTGAGAGAGTCTTGATAAACAAGACAAGTAATGTTGCAGTGATAATAAAAAATTTGTCAGAACTTCAAACAGTGACAACATCTCTAAGAATAACTTAATTTGAGGAAATTTTCAATATATTACTTTTCAAATATTTATTTTTGAACTATTATAGCAGAAGCCAGCTCTTTATCTGATTCTTACATAATTGATCTGGAGCAGAAAAGAAGGATTTTAAACTCCATTTCATAATTTATATTTAAGGATCAAAGATAAATTGACTCATTTAATCTTAACATAATTGTTTCTATTTTTTCAATGTAAAGGTCCAGTGTCAAGATTCTTTTCTGGAATCCTTTATGATCTGATAGCTTTTGGCTCTTGTGAACCAAAATTGGATGACATAGTAGATTATCAAATCAGAGAACAAATTAAAGAGGTATTTCGAATGCTAGTGTATTAGATATAGATTTGTTCAGTAGTAAAATTCAAATGCAGGATCTTTTCTGTTTGTCAAAGTGATTGTATCATACGGTGGGTGCCGAATCTGGTTCCAATTTAATTGTATTAGAAAATGCATATAAAAGCTGGTGTTTTGTTGTATGATTATATTGATGAATATTTTTTTTTTTTTCGTTTTTTAACAGTTGTCAAGGGCAGATGATGTAATAATGTTACAAGAGGCTGCTCAGCCTCTTATTGGCCATATAGACTTTTTAGGAGCTATACCTCTTATATTCGATGTAAAAAATAAAGAAAGTCTAGTCACATTATTAACACGGTATTTTGTTGTGGACAGGGTAAAAGGAGTACTGAATCAGTAAGTGAATGTTTTTTGATCACTGTTTATCTGAAAAATTGGTGTTCCTGGACGTAGAAAAGCTACAAGTTTTTAATGGGGAGATAAAAAAAAGTGATGTCCTCCATAAGTCAATGCATGTTAATCCATAGGCAATTAATATCAGGAAAAAAAGTAGAAGGAAATGCGGTTTGCCTGAGAAATTTGTTAAACTTCCACATTGAATGACTTATTATAGAAATATGAACATATTTCATCAATAAATATCCCTAAACAACTAATTTTAACTTTATTTTAGGTTCTGTGAAGGGATGGATTCTTTAGGTTTGAGAAAGGAAATAATTAAAAATCCAGAAGTCATGAGAGAACTTTTTGTTTTCTCGTATGAAAAATTGTCGTCCATTAATATTGATCACCTGTTTACTCCGGTTTTTAGCGAAAACAGCTTTTCGCTTGAACAGGAATTAAACAGCCATGCTCATTGGAGAGATTTTCTTCTGGATCTTGAAGGTAATCATCCTCAAGTATATTTTTCTGTTTTTCATTGTCTATTAGTTCTGTCCCACCTTTATCATGTTAGATTAGTGAACCACACAACAGTACAGTGTAAATTTTTAATAATACCATGGGACAAATGGTATGGTTGCCCATGTCCATCTGACAGTCCATAGGTATTTCTTGTCTCCAAATATTGTTCCATTGCGAGCAAAGATATTAACTTTTAAAGGTTGGATAGGATATTTGCATTATTTGCAACCACCGTTCTTATCTACTTTTAAGTAAAATATATAGATATCCAATGGCATCCAGAGTTGATAATGGCCTGGATAATTTAGATAAGATTTCAGGCCCAAACAAAGATCTGCAAAAGGCAGATTTAGCGCTTTCATAATGTACTTTTAATTTCTTGACAACTGCAGGCTTACAATAGATGTGGATGAAACTCAATTTTTATTTATCCTCTTAAATTTCAGAAACAGATGAACTGGGTAGTTTGTTATCTTTTGTGACTGGTTTAAAGGACATACCTCCACTGGGATTCAACCCACCACTAAAGCTACTGTTTAGACACCCATCTTTTGAATGGGACATTGCCCCGTTTGCAAATACTTGTGCTAATACCCTTAACATTCCAGTGTTAAAAGATTATGATGCATTCAAAACTGCAATGGCCATGTCTTTAAGAATTGGCAATATTTTTACTGACGCTTAAAATATTAACTTGCCTTTTTCTGTTTTACCCAGTCAGTTTGAAAGTTTTTAAGATAGTTATATTTAAAAACACTTTTTGGTCATACAACGTAGTCTGTTTTATCCAATCAATTTGATAGTTTTTAAGATAGTTAATTTAAAATTGCCCTTTTTGTGATACAACTTAAATCTGTTTTATCCAATCAGTTTGATAGTTCTTAAGATAGTTATATTTAAAAACGCTTTTTTGTGATACAACTTAGTCTGTTTTATCCAATCAATTTGATAATTTTTAAGATTAGTTATATTTAAAAACACTTTTTTGTGATACAACTTAGTCTGTTTTATCCAATCAATTTGATAGTTTTTAAGATAGTTAAATTTAAAGTATTGCTTATGTTTGTTTGTGTAATAATTTCTTATTTACCTTTGGGGGTAACCCGTTTTAAATTTATTTCTTTGTGATATATTTTATGTTCTTTGATTCAGTTTTTATTTATTTCTGTGTAAAGCTGCAACAATCTAAGAAAATATGCAATGTATAAATTTTGCATTATCAATTTTTGCAGTATGAGTTATTTATAATTTTTAACATAAAATTTTATGTTAAAAGATGTATAGTAGTAATGAAGCAGTATTTTTACACCTGCAAACAGATAAAGTCCGACAAATATTACCTTTATATTTTTTTATCGTTCACCTATTAAATATGCTCTTTGTAACTTAATTTCTTTGTCAGAATTGCAGTACCGGTATCAGTAAAACACAAACTACTTCCCTTTGCAAGACTTTTTGTACCAAATCCTATGCCTGAACATTTTGTACATGTAAATTTCCTACAAGAAACTGGTTTTCTATTATTTGAAAAGGAGAATTAAATTGTTTTAATTTCATAGGGAATTTCTTATTTGACAATGGGTAGAAATAATGATTAATATACAGGCTTTTGCATATAAAGTTAATTTAAATGTCTTCATTGCAATCACAACAAACCTTTTTAAGATTAAAATTCTTACATTAATTTTTATACTCCCACATTGAAATGTGGTTGTAAATTTTGTCGTTACCTTGGTTAGCTCTGTTAATATCTGATTGACTTAAGATTTATACACAGTGTTTAAGGTCATCAGACTCATTTTCAACCATTTCTAATATTTACTGCCACAGTCATGGCCTTTAATCACTTTGAAAAACATTGCAGATGCTCTTGAGACTAAAGTCAATATCCGATTCACATTAAATTTATTAAGTGTTTAAGGTCATGAATGATTTTCGATGTTTACTGCCACAGTCATGGCCTATGATTACTTTGAAAATTCTTGTGGATGCTCTAGTGGCTAAAGTTAATATCCAATTGACTTTAAATTTATACACAGTGTTTAAGGTCATCAGTTAAAGACGCATCAACAGAACACAATTTTTATGGGAAACAATCACCGGTTTTATTCTAAAAGCACCACGTTTCGATAAGAGGATAGTTGTCGAAACATCAAAAAAAACCAGTGATTGTTCCCCATAAAAATTTTGTTCTGTTAATTTATTTCCCAATCAATAAATGCCACTTAAAGATTAAGTTAAAGACACTTTTTGATTTTCAACAATTTCTGATAATTACTGTCAACATTATGGCCCTTGATCACTTTTAAAATCCTGTGGATGCTCCGACCAAAGTTATCATCTGATTTGATATTATATTCACTAAAACAGAGTTGAAGGTTATGAGATCTTATTGATTTTCAATGATTTTTGATGAACTTAAACAGCTAAATCCATGATATTAAATGTTTTGTATATTAAACTTTAGCATGAGCCAAACAAATTCTAATGATTTTCTGTTAATTACTTAATGAGTTGTTACTCTTAATCCGATTTATGTGCATTATAAATGTTTCATTAACGACAAAAAAAAAATATGCAACTGTCCAGTCGATTTAGCTGCTGTGGGGGATTTTTTTGTTGAGAGGCAACCTATCCTTAAATATGGATTAGTGTACTGCCATGTGTTTTATTATTGTTGATGAATATGTTTAATGATGTTGCCTTAATTAGGTTCCATATTAAATTGGTTAAGTTTGATGATCAACTGTTCCATGTAAATTTTGGGTTAAACATGATTTTGTACCTTTAGGCATAGTTAATGTCATAATTTTAATTTCTTAAAAAATCCTTTTATTAAGAAACTGTTATTGTATCTTGTTAAGTTATTAAATATTCATAAATTTTTTCTGTGTATGTACTGACTACATCCCATAAAGACTAGGCCTTCTACCATTTTAAGATTCTAGATTTATTGCTGTTTTTAAAATGTAGGCTAGATACAGGATTTTTGAAAGGGACGGGATAGGGTGGTCAAAGGAAAGTCTTGAAGATTTTTCATTGATGGGTAGAAACCGCTTACACATTTGACTAAAAAACAACAGTGTAAGACAAATATGTATTTAATACATCTACAAGATCATTCCATGTCCGGATGGGCAATAACTAAAACCCTTTCACCCTTCCCCTATTTACGAAGTCCCACTGTTCAGACATACTGTCATGATTTTTTTGGGAGGGTTAAATTGAAATTCAAAATCAGCTGACATTATTGTGTAACGGTGATAAATTTAAACATTTATTCCAAATCAGGCAAAAAGTCTACCCTCTAGATGAACAACAATTGGCCAACACGGATTTTCAGACATTCAGGGGTCATAATCCAGGAAATTACCATTCCGATATATCAAAAGGAACCAAGATCTATAGGATAAAAACATATTTTTATTTTCATCAAAATTTGATAAAAAAAATTGTGACCTCCAGATGATTAACAACCATGGTATTACATAACCTACTTTTACACTATCAGTCCAATTTTTATGAAATTCGAGCTCAACCATCATAACTATGTAACAGTGAAATATACAGTGGAACGGTTTTGTAAATCGGATAATAATTGTGACCTCTAGAGGGACCACATCGAAAGAAATCAAGATCTTTGGGTTATATTCTATAACCATACATTTCAAGTTTCATCAAAATCATATAAAAATTGTACCCTCTAGAGGGTCCACAAACACTGTATGTTTAATTAGTCACTTCTCATTTTTAGCCAACTATATAATTCTAATGCCTCTTCTGGATCATTTGGCATCTCTTTTCCGGCCTGCACTAACAATTCTGAGCATACATTTTCAAATTCTCTTAAACAACCGTTGGGTCCATAAAATTTACAAAACTGACTAAAACTATCAAGATCTTCAACAGCAACTTCGGTCTTGTAATCAACTGTATCTGAATATTAAAATGAAAAAAAAAAATCACACAAAAATATCTGATATATGACATAAAAGCAGCTTAGTTTTCATTTAATGATCAAATAATGACCAAATAGTTTCTACCCCCATATGGTTAAAATAATTTCTCATATTAAATCTTGTGATTGTCGCCTTACCAAACAATTGTGGAGTAAAATATAACAAGTCTGGTTTGCCTGCAGGACACTCTGCCCCTTTAGTTGGTCTCATCTTATGTTGATTCCAGTCTTTACGGATTTGGTCTAAGTCTTTTTGAATGAGATTTGTGAAGCAAAACCTGAAACATTCTCTGTAAGACATAATGATACCAATACTGCATTATCAATATGAAAACTAATATGTATGCTTGTTAACTTTGCTGTAAACATATTATATTATATTAGTATTAGTTAATTCAAGCATATCAAAAAAGGTAAACAATACCAATACCTATAGAATGTATTACATTGTAGGGACCTTAATAATGGAGGCTCTATCATAAATATATGCCAAGTAGCCTTTCTTTATAACTTGGCACCTAAGTTTGACTACCGATAATCTAACTATAAACATTACATAAACAAGGCCCCAAGAAGTCATCTAAATGAATGAATGAATGAATGAATGAATGGGTGTCACTTAAATACTACCCCTTAAGAACAATTAAAAATTATCCCTTAAGAACAATTAAAAGTTAAGTCAAGAATATAATTATTCTGTATTGCTTATTGTTACCTCAAGTAACCTCTAGTATATTAGAGGAAAGTTTGTAGATTTAATTATAGATAGTGACAATGGGTAGGCAAGAAGACATTCATAATTTCGCTCATAATAAAGTAATTTGACTGACATTTTCGATATATTCATTTTGCATTATCTATTTTTAAACTATTATAGACAGGCGAGATCTTTATCTAAATCTTACATACTGCATATTTAAATTTCATTCAGATTCAATTTAAAGTTTATTTCGATACAGTATTTTGGGGTAACAAAACAACCCTTTTGTATAAAATTGTCAATATTCATCATCCAATATCATATCAAAATAACCACACATATCATCACTTGCTAGAGTGGTGGTCACTATGATGACAACACATGTCCACATAACAGTATATGGATCTAAAAATGTTGAAATGATGTATACACACTTGTTTTGGCCATTTTCGGTATTAATCTCTCCTGAAGCTTCTAAATCCTTAAATAAATCCATCCAGAACTGACAACCACCCTGTTTTGCAGACCGCCAGAATCTTTCTATCCGCTACAAGAGACGATCATTGGTATATACTAAACATGTAACAACTTCAACAAAGATAAATTGCTAGACAACGAAACATACACCCACAGCATTCAATTCACCCGAGCAGTCCACAGAGGGTGTCACATTTATTTATTCTTTCAAAGGTAATGATAGCATTCACAAGACACTACTAGTTCGGTGGTTAAAGGGGGAGGGGGAATCGTCACCCGACCTGTGAATTTATGAGACCGAGTTTTTCTCAACAAGTTTTTTGCGTAGATCCGAATTTGTGGTGTGGCCCCATTTTTTGCGGTCAGATTTTGCATTTTAAGATTCAGACATAGCATCCCAACATTTCAAAACTATTTCTGATCGTATTACTTATATAGTAATTGCAGGGGGATTACACCACACATAATTTACATAAAAACAAATATATGGACAAGACATCATACCCAGAAACCACAATTAAACAAACAATTCAAAAAAAGTGAATGGATTCGATGTCAATTTTGACATTTTTGTAGGCGTGGCAGATTGGGCAGATTAGGGATGTACCCCACTGAAACCAGTCTTCGAAGTGATAAATGGCAATAACTCTGAAAGTAATTATCAGCCACTTCATCTCATGTACATAAATACTATAGTCAATCGGTTAATCACTTACGCTTGTAAAGAGTCCACAAGAGGTTCAGATTGATTAAGGGTGATCAATGATCGTAAATTTCAAGAGAATCGGATAA